TGGTCATGTGATATGAACGGAAGCTCTACAATTATACAAACTCATAAACTGATCAGTCTTCTGCCTGTTTTTCCTCACTGCAGCGAGCCTGGTGTCTCCTGATAAGACTCGTAGGACTGTCCTCCCCCCTGTAGAGCCCTCCAGTGGTACAGCCTTGCTTGGGCCCAGCCTGCTGGACAGCAACTCCCATGATTCTTTTCAGGCTCGTGGGCTGCCTGACGTAGTGGAGGTAAGAGCCTGCCTCAGCTGTCACTCTAATAAGAGACTGTCTTACATTGTGATTGTTTAATGTGAACAGTGTGTCATTTTTTAGCCAAAAATGTGTGAATAATGTTGATAGGACAGAAATTCCCCAGCAGGTAAATGTGACAGTATTTGGTTTTTAAGCTTTGCTTCATTTGCCTTCGAAGCCAGCAGCAAGATCAATTTTGAGGTGTACAGAAGTTCACCAAGACGCCTCACCTTGCAGCAGAAAAAATAACTCAAAAATCAGCCAGGGCTGAACCCTGTTGAGCAGCGTTTACTATAGCGAAAACACCAATAACTGTTTGTTTGAGCCTGCCTTGGCCTACGGCACCTAGTTGTAAGTCCAAATCTGTCTCGAGCCCAACTTATACAGTCATCACTCAAAGTGCCAAATAAAATTTGATATTTCTAATAACAGCAGCTTATAAATTACTTCGTAGCAGCAACAATGACATTATTAGATCATGGATTTTAAAATATAATAAAAATAATAATAATAATAATAATAATATGATAAAGTAAAATAACAATCTGTCTAAAATTAAGTTTAAGTTCTGTTTTAACAAATTCATTCATCAAGCAGTGCTTTTGAACAAGATTCCAAAAGTTTTAGTCTGGATGAGGCTTGTCACACCATGCCCTGTAATCACTCTGTACACTGCTTATACAGCAAGGTGTTACCAAAACTGTACTCTCCAGATGTATTTTAGTATGGGCTATCGTTGACCTTGTGGACACCGTAAGTGGGTGACTCCTAGGAGAGTAACGGTACGTGTATTTGTCCCGAACAGTCACAGTACAGACATTATGGTTTGGTACATGCAGTCGTATAATACTCAAATACTCAGTATGTGCAAAGATTGATGAACGTAATGCAGAATTAAATTTCACATGTGCTAGTTCCACCACCACACCTTAAGCTGTAAGCCATTAGCAAGTTGGCAGCAGTGGCAGCATTGTAACTCTTGATCCACGATCAGCTCTGAGGCTGATTGGTTCATCTGTTTAAACAGTGAAGTGAATAAAAAGAGAGGGGATTAAAAAAACACAATTAACAAATGAAACGAGACTTATCTCTATCCACAACTTGTAGTGTTTGTGTGCCTGTGAAGAGATTTGGCACAAAGCCTTACAAATTTTTCTGTTTTCTCTGCTCCTAACTTGAAAATCAGGACTGATAATGAACTGTCACTGCATGACTTAGTTAATGGTAGTGACTGTGTCTGTGAAGTGCAAATGACCCACTCTACAGGCTGTAGCAGCTACCTCAGGTGGGACTTTACAAAACCAGACGAAACAGTCTATAACTTGCACTACTGTCTGTTCAAAATAAATGACAAAAAACCTAGCCTTTTGGGTGTTTTTGTTGCTTTTTTCCTTGTTGTATGGAACTTGTACCGAACCATGATGTCCAAACTGTGGTGTGAACCGAGCCATGACTTTTGTGTATCATTACACCCCTAATGACTCCTGGTTAAAATAATCAAATAATGAAAGTGGAAAAGAAGAATAAGGTGGGGAGAACATCTAAAGCTAGGGAAAATGAAGGGTAAAGTCTTTGTTTGTCTTCCCCCCCCACCCCCTTCCCTCCTCCACCCCGGTCGTTTTCTGTGTAACCCAATTCCTAAGATACAAATGTCAATCATAGTGGTTTTATGTGAAATGCTTTGTATTAGAGAAACTTGCTGAGTTAGAATTGTTTACTGCGCTGATGACAAGAACCAGACATTTAAAGCATTAAATGCCCCTAAAAGCTGCCTCACAGAAAGCTATTTATTTGTATGGTAATAAAAACTGTACCTGATAACTTAGACATTGTTTTACAGCAGTTTTGAGATTTAGTTGAGATTTGAGGGGTTTTGTGTTTTCAGTTTTACCCATTTTACCATTATCAGCATTTAAGACTCAGACATGTGTAGGTTTGTTTTGGATAGTAAATAAATAAATATTTGTGTTGAAGACATCAGTAAGTTTACTACAAGGCACCATTTCACATCAAACAGCTCTGAATGAGCACTGGCATCTCAGTGACTGAATTATGCCAAAAGTGTAATTCTCCTTCAGAATTGAAAGGTAAATGTAAAATTAGAACTGAAAGTGAGCCTGACACGTTTGGAAAATGATGTCCAAACCAGACGTGAGAAGTCAGGTCTCTTCAGGTTCAGACAAATATTTAAAGTTCTAGTCTGCATAACTGTATATTTTATTTGTTTATTTGTTTTGGGCCAGATGGATACTCAGCTTGCCTGCATGATGAGTGAGAGCAGCGTTGACTACATTGCCCGCTTCAATGACCTCGCCCAAGAATTATCTGTCTCCGAAGCAAGTCTGCCTCCTCCAGGGGTTTGAGATGAAGAGGGTGAGGGGTTCTGTCCCTGCTTCACCTTTCCCACAGCTCGGGGTTGATGTGCTTGGATGGAGCTCCACACTATTAGTTCCAGAAACACAATGTGTGGGACAGTGCTGTAGAAGAATTCCAATTCCTCCAGTTAGAGTGTGTGTATGTGCGCGCGTGTGTATGTGCGCGCACATATGCGTGTGTGTGTTTGAGCGTTTGAGCTTGTTGTAAGTGCAATAAAGACTGCCATGATCCTCAAGAGCTTTCAGGATCAAATGTGTGCGCACCCATCGTTTCGTGGCTGCGGTCTTGAGAGCCACACTCCATACACTTTTTAAACAAATTTGTTTACAAAGCAACCTCATGTACAGAAAACGAAGATCCGCCATATCTGAACAAATATTGCCTCCTGTAGATTTCTTTCCTTTCTCTTATGTCTGTCTCACTTTGTTGTTTGTCAGATGCATCTGTCTGTATAAAGAGCCAAGGATGCTTTTCTGTGTTTGTCTTTGTGATTTTGTTCCTTTTTGGAAGATACTTCCTTGATTATCCTTCGCAAAATCCTGAAAAAGCCATAAGTGTGCATGTGTAAATGTGTGTATGTACAGTACACGTCCTCCATATACAGTCTGTTGTATGTTTGTTTGTTTCTTTTTAATACTCACTGGCTTCATAGTCCAATTGGCTTTATCTAATTCAATATTGATTATCTGATGACACTGCTAGAAGGGTTATTATTTATTTATTGTGGGAAATGCAAGAAGTAATTGAAAATTTCACCAACACTAAAAGAAAAACAACTAAGCGAAAGTCCATTTTTATATACTACCCTAAGACTTGTTATAGTTATCAAATAACTAAATGCCCTTTGGTTTGATGGTTAGTACTCACAGCACTAAGTTGTTATTGTCTGCTTTTGAAGCCAGTAACTGGATGGTTTGAATGGTCATTGACACGCTCTTGTGTCCCCTGTCTCTGATAGAATGAATGTGTAATGTTTGTTTCTGATGTAAATAGATCATAAAAAATTCCAGTATTCACTGCGCTTTTTATAACATACTGTAAATTATTTGGATTATTTATTAATTTACATGTTTCAACAGTGATTTTTTTTTTACTTCCAAGGCATCTCCTTTCTGATGATTTAAAGATCCCTGCATTTGTTAAAAAAGGGGTTTTACTTCACCATGTAAAAAAAGAAATAGAGAGTTTCAAACCTGGTTCTCAGTGTCCGTCCCTGTTTGTTCATTGACAGCTAAGACAAGAAAATTAGTCTCTGGCTGTCTGTGGCTTTTTTTGGTCTCATTTCCAAGTATTCTTTATTAATGTAATATTATTATTCCAGGCACAAAACACTATGATTATTATTGTTATTATTATCTTTTGTATTTTATTTATTTATATTTTTAAACAAAGGCACCCTAAGGCCGCGTCAGACAGGACCACGACGTTACACGTCTATGTTATAGTCTGAAACCCCTCAGCATTGAGCTGTAGCTTGGATTACTGAGCACTTAGATTCGGAAGAGGACTAAAAAATCTTGAGATTTTATTACAGTCTGGCGGCTACACCCAAAAAAATCAGTGGGAGTGGGTAAGAAATCAAACCGATCGATACCAAAACTGCCGCAATGTGCCATTTGGCGTAGTTTTGGTCCTGCGGTTCTCTGCTACGTGTACCCGGGAGGACCGTCAGGCAGAAGAGTGTCCTGTTTCTTATTTTAACATTTAAATGGGGCTTTCGCAACCCAAAATTCCTGGAGAGACAGACGAGGGCCGTTTATAGCTGTCTAACCAATACTGTAGGAAAAAGATGTTAGGATATGAGATAAAATGCATTTGTTTAGGTTTGAACTTTTGAGTTATTATGGTTGTAATCAGAATTTAACCTCTGTTGAGCGGTAAATCAGCAAGACATACACATATACACACACATGCATATATATATATATATAGAGAGGGCGACTAAATGGGCAGGTCCGTAACGCAGAGGGTCAGACACTGAGTCAGAATTGGTAGGCTTTGACCAATAGGGGGCGTTACAGCATGCACAAGATCATCAAAACCGCTCAAATTCATTTATACACTCCTCAACTTTACGGACGTGTGGGGTATTGTACTGAGTGAACATACAAACGTTGGCTGAATTTGGTCACATTTTATTCTTTATTGTTATCATTATTTATATTTATTTATTTATTTATTATTTATATTTATATTTATTTATTTATTTATTATTATTATTATTATTATTATTACTATTATTATTCAGGAGTATCTGTAATACAGTGGTGCCCCCCACCGTTATTCTGATTCAGTTCTATTTTATATGTATCATTATTAATAATAAATCAGGGGTCAGGGACGCAGTGGTCCCTCCCACCGTTACTCTGATTGGGCAGTAGGGGCCGTGCGCGCTGGTGTCATTTCCCTGTTAGCACACATGGCTCTCCGCTTCCTGTAAGTAGGTCTGTTCTACAGGAATGCACGCAGGAATAATTAAAATCAGAAGAAAAGGCTTTGCGGTTTAAAAGGTCATGTAACCGTATCCACAAAGGTAAATACTCTTCTAAGTACAGCGTACTGTTTCCAGTCTCGGCTTATGTCTCTCATAATCGCCTTTGACCCTGCTAGCTGAGCTAGCTGAGCAGCTAACGTTACTGGAGAAGCCGCCGCGGTGCACGAGTCCGTTAACGCCGGTCCCGCGTCTCGCATGTAACGAGTAGAGGTGATACAGTTAAAGGGTGATGAGAAATTCTCTTTTCATGTGTGAAAACCGACCACCGTGTTGAGTGTTGACACTGAGAGTTGACGCCCTGCGGGGTTGGAGGGGCGGTCTGTGGGTTACTATGGTTACGTCTCCGCGTGCAGTCAGTATAACGGATTGGTTCCCTTTATCGAAAACGTTACTGTCTTTAGCCTGTCCAGCCTCTGTTACAGACTTATTATAGTTATTATAGTTATTTATTAGCTACATTAGCCTCGTAGCTCCGGTGCAAACCCGAAGAAGCAAACATCAGACACCACACATATCTTGGCTGATCGAGTTCATTTCCGTTAAGGGGGAAAGTGTAGATAAGCTGTTTCGGTGAGCTGAGCTGCTCTTTACCTTAGATTTTCTGACAGACCGGTCACAATAAGCTGCAAACGTATGTTGTGTCGTAAAATGCGTAAAGTTATTTGCGGTAATATTTTCAGTGCTTCCAGTACTTTCAGTATTTGCAGTAAAGCTCTTGTGCAGGGGTGCCCACCTCCGGTGATTCGCTCGTGGTGTGGCAGCACAGCTGGTTTAACTGGAGTCTGGCCACTTCCTGTTTCTCCCGTTATACAGAAAACACAACTGCACAACGCTAGAGGGCGCCCGCGAGTGAGTCCTCAAGGAATTGGGGTGAATGGTACTGAACGACTAAAAAGGAAAAATAAAATGTGTTTCTAGGCACTTATGCGGAAACTTCTTTTAATTCTGGAAAGTAGACGAGGTATTCCATTAAAAATCAAAGAACACATACGAGTATTTTTACATGTCTCTACAGCAAAGTCGTTTTGAGCAGTAAGGTGTTAGCATTAGCGCTGCTGAGTGCTGATTGGTTGGCTGAGTAAGGCCGTATTCACAAGACGTTTTGATTCCGTCAATAAACGCATAGATCTCTGTAGTCGTGTCGTCATTCTGTAGCCGGCGCCATGCTCTTATGCCCATATTAGGAACTCCGGGTCTAAGCCCCATTTCTCTATGACCAGGGTTTTCGAAAAAATCGCCTTTGTCGCCCCCTGTGTTAAATAAACATGTTCAGAACACGATACGTTGATCTTATGAATATTCTTCTCTTGAATATCACTGGATCATCTGAAAGACGAGGTCATTAAATAGTTGAAATATAAATATTGCTACATGTATAATATGAATATATGTAAGCTAATGCTCAGAAGAAGTCTGGTTTCCCTGCGGTTCCCTGTTATTTATCTGATACTCACGACAGATATTCTAATTATTATTTTAATGCTGGTAACATTTTCTGAGGACATTCGCCAGCCTCTTATTCGACTTTTTCCGTTCCACCTTAAATGCTGCGGCAGTTACATTCTGAACAGCTGCGCCATGTAAGGTGAAACGGGGAAATTCGAACAAGCAGCAGGCAAAAAAGTGAGAGGAGCTTTGAGTAAGTGTGATAAACATTTGCTCTCTTTTCTCTGTGCTTTTTGACTGACTCAACAGTTTGTGCTGGTGAGGTTTAGCCGTTCCAGAATGTGAAGAGGCCCAGTGAGTTTCTCTTGGACGCACTTAGAAATTTAATGAGAAGGAAGGTTCTTTGACATAATGTTAAAGCTACACTTTGTACATATTGGGGGTTTGAAGACCACTCTGGAAACTGTCTAAGAACATTTTGCACATCGGCTGTGCTTCGGACCCCTTCCTCGATCGGATGAATCTGATGATTGCGAGCAGGTTGAAAGAGCATTAACACAAAATGAGGATGCAAGTGAAATATTTACTATTGTCATCATATCTTCATCAGTATAATGTTGATTTTGCATTTGAGACCTAAACAGCGAGCCAGACCTTCTTTTTAAGACTGTTCATGTGATGTTAATTTGTAAAGACGCATGAAAAAAACATACCTTATTTTAGTGTGTTTTTTCACCTACTCGGTAATGCTACTGCTTATAATTTTAACAAAAATCTTCCATAGTCCTGCTTTAAGATTTAGATCAGCTCCTGGGAGGTAATTCACAAAGAAAGATTTCTCAGGAAGTCAAGGCTGTCCAATAGGAGGAGAGGGCAGGGATGTTCCTATTGGACAGTGTAAGCTTTTGGCTTAAGTTATCCAGCTTAATTGAGAAATCCTGCTTTGTGAAATACCCCCCTGATGCCTAATGTGTCATTGTGATTGGTAAGACAGTCGGGGGTGGAAGGAGAGAGTAGTAAAAGAGAAGAAGGTCAGAGTACAGTATGTTAACATGCTGACGTTGGATGTGTAGATAAAACAGTTGGGTGAGTATTTATAATTTGTGTGTGTGTGCAGGAAAATGGAGCGCTTAACAGGAGCAGGTGTGGGGCCGCTGGCTGTAGGCGCAGTAGGGCTGCTGATCTTATTGAAATTGATCCAAAGAGCAAGAGGCAAGCAGATTCTACAGGATAAAATCGTGGTCATCACTGGAGCCAGCTCTGGCCTGGGCAAAGGTAACAAGCATATTGCCCAGCCACTTTATTAGAAACACTTACTCTTAAGGTCCACCTTGGTGTACAATTAGAGTCCATAGGCCAACATAAGTTTCAGTGTTAGCTATTCTCTAGTCCTTCCAGTAAGTGTTAAATAGGAATTCCTCTGATTTTTCAAAACATCTGAGCAATTAAGTTGCTAAGATGTTAACAAAGTCATTCAGGGTGGTTTGGTATAAAATGCACCTTTCTAGAGAAACCTAGCCAAGGAACCCGATGCCTCAATTATTAAACATTTGCACGCTTAAATGTAATGTTAAAATGATCCTATGTAAAACTTCACATTTAAGTAGCGATGTATAAAATGTCAAATTGACGTGAAAATGTGCATATATGAATGCGATTTTCCAATCATATATATGAATGGCAGTCTGAGTGTACTACAGTCATTACAGTGCGTGATTCATAAATGTGTATATGTTTTTATAAATCAGTCGTACACAAATGCTAAGAACTTATCTTAAGATCACATTTACTTTTATTTGCTTTGGATAAATGTGGACGTCTGAAGTGCTAATGTTTCTAAAAGGAACATCTCAGAAAATGATTAAATGAAAAGTTTTAAAATATGCTGCCTGATGTCTGAGACATTGTTTTACGATAGTTTTGTAATAAAGTTTTGGTCTATTCATGATGAAGAGGTACATGCAGTGTGTTGTAAGGCAAAACAGTCCCCAAAGAGAAAAGATTTCTCTCAGATTTTCCACTATGTTACTATTATCAACATTGCGTATAAAAACTCAGGGGACACATGTAGACACTGATAATTTTGGATAGTAAATAAAATGGTTATTATTTGTACTGTAAACATTGTGACTCCTGGTTCCGATCACCATGCAAAGAAATCTGAGTTGGTAAGATTCTCTACAGTTAATTATTTCAGATCAAACCACTTTGAATGACTTTTTTTACATCTCAACAATTGATTTATGCATACATTTTGCAAAATTGTTGGAATTCTTCTTTAAGATGAGCAGTGTGTTTTATATGAGTTTGTATGTCCCCAGAGTGTGCACGGGTGTTCCATGCTGCAGGAGCGAGGCTTATCTTGTGTGGACGAGACCAGAAGAGACTGCAGGAGGTTGTTCAGGAGTTAAGGGCCGTGACAGATGGTCAAAGAAAGGTACACACACTTAAATAAAGGCTTTACAACATGCTCACCCCCCACCCTTTGTCTTGGCAATATCTTATAGTTATTGCCTTTGAATTCTGAATGTTAAGTCTATCTCATATGTGCTTTATCATATTCTCTGATATTTACTGCACTTTGAGATAAAATAACATTTTTAACTGAATAATTTTGCTCATAACTGAGTGGATCTCTGTTTTTTTAATCAGACCTATACGCCCTGCACAGTCACCTTTGACCTCTCTGACATGGACACAGTTGCCAGGGCGGCAGTGGAGATCCTGAAGTGCCACGGTCATGTGGACGTCCTCATTAACAACGCTGGCATTAGTTACCGTGGCAACATCCTAGACACCCATGTCTCCGTGCAGAGGGACGTCATGGAGACCAACTACTTTGGCCCTGTTGCCCTGACTCAAGGTCTGTTCATCTGTGTCACTTGGTAAATCATGGTAAAAACACAGTAGCCGTGTAGTAGAATAGCTGTAAAGGTTTGTACCTGTTTTTGTATGTAGGTATAGTTTGTATAAAGTTTGTATCTGTAGTTATATATTATAATGATAGTATGTAGTGCAACAGGAAACATTTGTTCTGTAACGAGATGTATAGCCCTGTAATGAAAAAGCAGCAGAAACTATAAGCATGAACATATATTTAAATATATTAAACAAACATTCATATTCAAAAGTTTGGAATCCCTGGTCAATTTCGTTGATTTTCTGAGTGAAAATACACTATTTGGACAAAAGTACTGGGACACTTACACATTGCACCTACAGGAGCTTTTATGACATCCCATTCGAAATCCATAGGCATTAATATGGAGTTGGTCCCCCCTTTGCAGCTATAACAGCTTCCACTCTTCTGTGAAGGGTTTCTGCAAGATTTTGGAGTGTGGCTTTTTTGCCCTTTCATCCAGAAGAGCATTTGTGAGGTCAGACACTGATGTTGGACGAGAGGGCCTGGCTCGCAGTCTCTGTTCTAGTTCATTCCAAAGGTGTTCGATGGGGTTTAAGTTCTTCCACAACAAACTCACCCAACCATGTCTTTATGGACATTGCTTTGTGCCCTGGGGCTCAGTCATGCTGGAACAGAAAAAGGTCTTCCCCGAACTGTTGGAAGTGTACAATTGTCTAAAATGTCTTAGTATGCTGAAGTATTAAGACTTCCCTTCACTGGAACTAAGGGGCCTAGGCCAACCCCTGAAAAACAACCTCATAGCATTATCCCTCCTCCACCAAACTTTACACTTGGCACAATGCAGTCAGGCGGGTATCGTTCTCCTGGCCTTCGTGAAACCTAGACTCATCTATCACACTGCCAGATAGAGAAGCGTGATTCGTCACTCCACAGAACATGTTTCCACTGCTCCAGAGACCACTGGTGGAGGGTGTGTCCCAATACTTTTGTCCATGTAGCGTAAGTTAAGAATGAAGTTATAATGAAATTAACACCCAGAGCATGTCATATATTAAAAGTAGTGATCAAACCTCAAGGTAGATAACTTTATAAAATACTGTACATAGACATTTACAATAAATTAATAACTTCCTGCTATCCCCTAAAACTTACAATAATAAACAATATCTATAATAATATAACTATATTCTAGTCTGCAATTCAGAATTTTTCAGTCTAGTGGTTGTTATCATATAATTAAATAACAGAAATGTTAATTTGACAAGCAGTTCCAAACCTTTGAACAACAGTGTACATTCACAAGGATTTAGGTGAGTTTCAGAGTGAGTTAGTGAAACTCAAAACTCCTAATATATAAATTGTCTTCCCTCTCTTTCTAGCTATTCTTCCCTCCATGGTGGAAAGAGGCAGTGGACACATTGTAGCCATCAGCAGCGTGCAGGGAAAGATAGCCATCCCTTATAGATCTGCTTGTGAGTATACCCAGATGAACACTGACTTCACCTTATACAGAAGAGGCCTGATTCTTATAATAAAGAGGAATTCCAGTGATTTTTAAACATTTGTGTATAATTTAATTGTTAAGATGTTAACTAAGTAATTCAGAGTGTTTTGATGTTAAATGTGTGGTTCTAGAAAAACTTACTGAATCAGAATTTTTCAACACAGCAGTGATAGGAACCACACCTTTGAAGAGTTTAATTTTTGATGAGCCACCATTTTACCATTATGAATGTTACATATAAAACACAAAATAGAGGTGTAGGTTCACTGGTCATTTTGGATAGCAAATAAAATGACAATTTTTGTATTATGGCTGTATTAGACATTGTGACCCCTGGTTCCTGTCACCACCATTGTAAAGATATCAGAGCATATCAGTTTATCCTCAGTGAACCATTTCAAACCACTCTGAATGAGTTTGTTTACATCTAATTGCCTAAACTATGCAGAAATTTAGAAAAATCTTTGGAATTCCCCTTTCACAAAATATAAGAGTCTATATCTGCTTATATCTGTTCTGAACAGGGTTTTAATGTTGGAGTTTTTTATATTTATTAACTTTGGATTTCTTGTGTTGACACATTTATGATTTAAGTGTCAAAGACTGACAAAGTTTATTATTGTAGTTAAATGTTTGGTTCAAAAGCCCAAAATATTCCCAAAATGTTATGAGGTGAAATGAAAGATGAGGAAACTTTTATGATTAGAGGGAGGAAATAGGGATTAGGCTTCCACATACAGGAATCATAATAGCATGTTTATTTACAGTCATTCACTAACTAGATAGATAGATAGATAGATAGATAGGGATGGAGGGGGTGAATGATTGAGACGAGTCATAGTCGGACACTTATGAACTATATATATATATATATATATATATATATATATATATATATATATATATGGCTGTATTGACTGTTAGGGTAGGATTTGTACGTTTTTAGGCTGCTAAAGGAAATAAATGTATTTCCTCATGTGCTGTCCCAAGATGGCAGGTTTGTGTTTGTGAATTAGATCTTTTAGAAAATGAACTTGAACTGTGGATTTGTGATATTTTGAGTATTTTGTCATTTGTGACTGGCAAACTATGTAACTAACGAAGTACATCACTGTATATTTACTAATATCAGTGACTCTCACAAATATGTTAAAACATATTTCCAACACCACAGCCATACACTCTAAAATGATAGTTAACTGGCCTCAGCAGACTGCAGCAACCTGGGTAAAGGCCTGGGCCAAGGGACACAAAATAAGAGGACATCTGTGGGTACTATTTCTAGTTTCATTATATAATTATATAATCATTACACCGCATACAGCTCACGCTTGGGTAATGTGCCGGTGTTTGTATAAAAATGTCATCTATCAGACATACAGTGCTCTCAAGCCACACTTTGCAGCACTTTGGTTTAGCACACTGGTGCAGTGCTGAGAGACCAAGGTGTGATTTCTGCAGATACAGTACAGGCAGCAATAAAACCCAACTTGTCTGTCTGCACCTAAGAAATTCCAGCCTATATATATTTAATGATAAAAATACTTCTGTTGTCACAAGTTTTGTTACAATAATTGCAGAATTTTAGTTAAAAATTAATCATTTGTAACAGCAGACACATCTCTTCCAGCAGGGCTGATACATGTATTGGTCATTTGCTAAAGACTGTTAATAATGCATCCATGGAAATCTGTGCTGTGTTTAGATGCAGCATCCAAGCATGCGACGCAGGCCTATTTTGATTGCCTTCGAGCAGAGGTGGAAAGGTTCGGCTTACAGGTGTCAATCATCAGCCCGGGGTACATAAGAACGAACCTGTCAGTCAACGCTGTTACTGGAGATGGATCTAAGTATGGTGGTGAGACAATATTCATCTTTTTTTCTAAATGAATATGTTTATTTGATTTGTACCATCAGAAATTACAGAAAGTGTACATACGACCCCTCCCACACCACCCTTACAGAGTAAGATTAAAAACAAACGATGGTTAGATTATTAAAGATAAGAATCAGTCAGCAGTAGTTACTGAGTTTGTCAAATGACTCATAGAGCTTGTTTACATTCATTCTTGTCCAGATTGTATATACTTTGGCCCGATTCCATTTACACTTTTCCCCATTTCCCCACTGTGACCAGATCAGATCTGGGGGAGATCTGAGATTTTTGTTACCCATAAAAACAGCACATCGATACATTTAGTTTCCATTTCACTTTTGGTAACCAGCACTCAGCAGCCGCATTTCTGCTTAGTAATTGTAGGTAAATGTTAAACACATTCCATTTATATTTGTGCTGAATGTGTTCAACATCCGCCCCTGAATGCGTCTTGCGCGTGTTTACATCTGGTTTTTCATGCGGTCAAGTGAAATCCGAACATGATCTGATCAGCCAAAACACATACTGATGGCAAAGTGTAACCGCCTCATAAATGTCCTGTCCACAGTGCTTTGGACTTTAAGGAGGACAGCAAGCCTCTTCAGTATTTTTAAAGCAATTTTGCTTTTTTTCTTTGGATTAAACAGAACTTTCCTCAGAGGGAATGGAAACGGATTCATCTTTATCTTTGTTTTGTGAGACATAAATCATAAAAGACGGTTTCAATGAAGGTTTTGTTTCCTAATTATATTTCACACGTGCATGCAAAAATGTTGCTTTGTAACTGACTTACTTTATTGCTTTCTTTTGCTTTTTCTCAGTGATGGACAAGACCACGGCGTCTGGACGGGACCCAACAGAGGTGGCTCATGCCGTTCTGAAGGCTGTCCGTCACAGACAGAAAGACGTTCTGTTGGCTGGACCTCTGCCCACTCTCGCTGTCTACCTCCGCACTCTCTGGCCTGCTGCCTACTTCAGAGTGATGGCCTCTCGTGCCAAGAAAGAACAGAGAATAAAAGAACAGTAAAAGCAGCCACAGCTATTTAAGCCACAGAGAGAGAGAAAGAGATTCATTCTGTGGAAATTTACGAATTACATTTTGTTTGTAGCAGGTGTGTTTCGACGTGTTTGATAAAGACACTTTTATTATATAACGTTGTCACGTGTTCCAAAAACAGAAGCTGCAGAATTTGTATTTCTGAGAAATACAGAAGTTAGAGAGCGATGGAAGTCCAGTAGTGAAGGATGCCATAATGTAATACAGCTGAGGAATGAGGAATAAAACTTAACGTATGTAAGGTAAGAGGTTGTTATTATTCTGCACTTCTGCCTCACCTGCTAAAATGACATCCACTTTGGCACCACAGTAACCTAATCTCTTGATCTCTTGTCAGTAATTTCCATTAATGTCCATTTACCAGTTCTTTCCACTCTTAGAGCAAACAATGTTTAAGAACATTCTTAAAATGGTTTGACCTAAAATCTAATTCCCCCCTTACCACAAATGCAGTTTATGAGCCAAAATATGTTTGGTGTCTGAAGCTCACTTCTTTAGTTTTGAACAGAAGCTACAATGGTAATGTAGCTAACAAGTAATGGAAGCTTATAGCCTCTTAAACAGTGTCTCCATACTACATCCATCTCTTTTATTTAAACAAAAAAGTGAGTAAAAATAATTTTCCGTTAAATAGGCCCTTTAACTTTCACAGTCATGTTTACATCACAAGGTACGCCGTCTTCCGTTTGGTTAAAGCAAATGCATGTAAATGAAAGAAAGTAGAAAACGCTTTAAGACATCATAGATCTAACAAACCCAACAAAATTTGTCTGGTGATATAACACCTTTAGAGGGCGGTGGTGAGTAATGTTTTTATTTGATGTTTGTTAACAAATTTGAGGGTGGTGCTGAGTAATGCTTGCTTCTTTGAGCTTGTGCTGTTTCTGTTGTCATTTAGGGTCTACTAACTATCAACAGCTAGGAAGAAAGATAACTAATCAGCCGATTTGGGCATTTTAGGCTTTTACTTTCATGCCTGTATACAATGAACAAAAAATAAATTTTTAATCGCAATGATGTATTTGGCAATTAATCATCAGCTAATATATCATGATGACGGTACATACAGTGTCAGAAACCATATAAGCAAGGCTATTTGAGATTACTTAGTAAACAACAGTTTGAGGAAATTGTGAAGGGATATAAGCTTCCATAACTTGTTAGCTACATTAGCCTTGTAGCTCCAGTGCAAAACTAAAGAAGCAAATTCAGACACCAAACGTCTTGCTGATCACCTTTATTTAGCATAAAGGCAAACTGTTCAAATTCGATTCTTGCCCAAACCTTTGCTCTGAAGTAGAAAACTTTATAGACAGAGGGTCACTATTCAGAATAAAGGGTTTCTAGATTTCATGTAACTGACTCGATCAACATGTCTCTCCTGCCTTTGGTTACTTGATGGTGCACCAGCTATTTTAGGCATCCCAACCTTTCACTAAGCAGGTAACCTCTACAATGTTTCAGGCTTTTAGCTTAGGCAGCACTGTGGTATATTTTTACTCCAACACGTCCACTGCTTCAGCCTGTGGTCTAATTCTGCTCTGTACTACCTACCAGCAGTTTACTAACCCAATTATCTCCCCTTGAACAAAAGAAACAGATGCTACTACCAAGCTCTGCTGCAAGAGTTCAGAAGATATTAAACAAATTGAGCATTTCTTTAAAGACAACAAATTCCCCCTGAACCGAAATCTAGAATACAGCGTTCAAGGTTTATCGTTTTTAAACCGAGACTGGTGTCCATGTAGGGTCGAAACCAGTTTTCTCAAATCCTGAATGGGAGGGCTTTTAATGGAGGAATCCCAGGAAGAGCAACTTAGTCCAAGACCAGGCCTAATCTGTGCTCAGAAAACAAACTATTGGTCTGTAAACTGCAAGCTGATCCCTTCTCTACAGCTTCCTATAAAGACTGGAAGAGTTCAGCCAAGTATTGATTGATTAAAACAGCACACTAATAAAGTGAGCATGTGTGGCTTGTGTTTCTTTTTAGTAGGTTTGCCATCAAGTGTGAATGTGGCTATTGGTCCTGTCTGCTGGTACAGCTCTCCCTTCTCCTGGACTCATTTGGACATTTGAATAAACATTTAGTGCAGTAAACCACCCTGTAAAAGGTTCTTTTGAAAATTTTTGTAAACAGCCAAGATACTAACTGGTAATTTAGTGCCAGTAACTCTGGATTTCAGAAGGAACGCATTGTCACCTAGCTGTAATCCACCCCATCAAACCATGCTGTTTAGACTGAGGGCAGCTTGAATGTGGTACTAGTCCTAAAAAGGACTTTCAGTGATTGTTGTTGCTTGGATTGTGTGATTTAGTCTCATCCTGATCCTTGTCCTGAAAACTTAACCTCTAAATTACTGAACATGACTCACATTTGCTGAAAAGACAGTGAACACATCTGTGGGAAATGTAATAAGGTTTATATAATAACTTCACTGAAGGGCAGCGTTCATTAAACTATACGACACCTACATAAATCTAAATAGACATTTATAAAGGCTTATAAAGTCATTATAAAGGCTTATAAAGACATTTATAAAGTCTGAACACTTGCTCAGGTGAAGGACAAAATCAGCCTTTATGACAAATGATGATTGTTGGGATAATACTTTATAAAAGTTCAAACAGATTTGTGTATATTGTCATGAAATTAGAGCTGGTACAATCATGAACCTTTGGCTGACATTTAATAGAATAAAATAATTGTGATTCACAATGTCTTTTCTACCGCAATCCTATCTGGATTAAGTGGTTTAAGATGATGAATGAATTTTCATTGTTTGCAACTATTAAATACATAGATTTGGCCCAGATTGGCTTAGTAGCCACTTTACTTGCTAGCTTTGTTTACTCATCACTGGTTGTTCTGTCAAATCAATACTGCGCACACACTCACACAAGTGTAGCTAAGCAACGTTGCATGTTCTTAATGAGGGTGCAAATATAAGCAAACACTCGTTCTGACAGCATACATGCTAAAAACGATAGGATTAGCTACATAGTTAACAAATCAATAAACATTACTCAGCGCTGCCCTCTGACCATGTTAGAGCACCAAGTTAAAAGTTAGAACTGTTTGTTTTCTTAAGCCACGTGACTTCTCAATGAACGCATTTACTGCTTTTTTTATTTACATTTTTTGGCTCAAACCACTGCACCCTCTTAACCCCATTTTGTTTGTTGCAGCATAGTATCACTGAAATCTAATAATTGTGGAAAATTACTGCAGTCCATTTCAAATAACTGTGACTGGGTAATTATGTAATAATTGTGACAGACCTACAAGGCTTATGTAGGTTTAATGTAGCCTTAAAAATGTTGCCCTCCAGAAGTGTTACCCAATTAATTGACAGACCTTGACTTCCAATTAAATAAAAAATGTTGCCCCCAATATTATAAAACTTTAAAATGCACCCTGTAAACCTCTCCACTAAGAACAGCATTGGCCATTAATTAAAACACCTCAACAAATGTACACCCATTATGTTTCATTACATAATGTCACTGTTTGGACACAAACAGGTCTCCAAGGTTTAAAGCCCAGAATAAAGTAAGTTTACAAAGTTAGCATTTTTACGAAAAACAATATGGTACAACTGCATTTTGCCTTTTTGAAGCTTTACGTGCCCACCCCCGTCTTCCTCAGCAAAAGCATAAATGATGTGCAAGCTCAAGCTTCACCATCTGAGTTGTGTGGGTCAATCTGAGATTAGTCTTCAACCTTCTATTAGGGGGTGTAAAAGTACAGATCTTGATTCACAATCTACGTGTGCATGCATGAGGACATATAAGACGTTCTTTTGTAGCATGCAGGGTCTGAAGACTACAGCCCTGAATAGTAAATATTTATGTTTATGTAATTCAAGATGGGTTTTTCTGAGCAGTAGCTGTTTTACAAGCAGCCAGGCACACTGAAATTCAGTTTGAACACTGGTCAAGTAAACATAATATTTGTATTAAAAATATAATAAAAATAAAAAATAAATAAAAAAGCATTATACATATAATATGGGGCGTAACCAGGGTGGGCAAAATCTCAAAAGCATTCACCACAATGTAAAATCTGTACTGCAAGGTGTTTCATATAATTGTCTAATAAAACTTAAACACTAGCTTCCTTTAACCATTTACACTGAAGTGCTATTTACTGACCCCAATTCCATTAGAGGTATTTACCACGTCTCTGGCTTAATGGGCATTATCTGGCAAGTGAGCTGCACAACTAATGCCACAAAGACCTTCCTTGCAACACCCAGAAACAGCGTTAGGTTAACAACACCTATAAGTTTTTCATGATGATTTTTATGAAGATTAATTTTAAATGTGCATGCAATGTTTTTGGCTGGAAGAAGGTGAAACTGAAGATTAAAGAAAAGATTGGCAGAGATGGCTTTTGAGGTTAAATCTCCTACTGTTTAATGAAAAGGTGATGCGCCGAGGCAGGGTACAGTAAAACTACACAGGGGGGAGGGGAGACAGGGTTCGAAGGTCATACTTTAAAAGATGTCTGTCTGTTGGCCTGTCCAGCACACGCTCGCGGTCCCGACAGGTCACTGCCCAGGTGCAGGGGGGCTCAGCATGTGCGGCAGGGCTAGGCGGGGCAAGGCTGGGAGGACGCCGAGGGACCGGGTGATACCGGAAGAGGGGGGCGAGTGCATTGGTGATGTCACTTGAGTACGGGGGGAAAAAAAAGAGAGGGGGAGAATCTTACGTCTAGTTTTACAATAACCCCCCCTGAGCCTTCTTCTCATCCTGTTCGTTCATCCTCCCGTCCTGCCCGTTCGTCCGCTCTTCCACCGTTTGAGAACTTAGAGGGGAGAGAGAGACAGGGAGAGCGCTGCTCGTTTCTTTCCGTTCGTTCTTTTTTTTGGCTCCTTGCAATCGCTCTCTCCACTCATGCATCGGTTTGCCTATTTCTGTTGTTTGCTTTTATCTGCAGGTGTTTGTATTTAGTAGTGCTTCTGACCTCCCCAGCCATTGTGTATGTGCGTGTGCGTGTGAAATGTCGTATCAGTGTTTGTGTGTATGTGTCTGTGTGTGCGTATGTGCAGCGGCGCCTCATACGGAGTACAGTTCGTAAATCTTCTTGGCGCAGTAAGCCAGGGCAGCCAGCGCTATCGTGTTGTGCAGTCTCTTTCTGTGCACGTCGTCCCGCCGCACCAGCACCACGGGTGTGGAAGAGGTGAGTGTGTGCAGCGGCAGCCGCGACAGCTTCTGGCTGTCGTACTCCACCTGGTACTTGCAGCACGGGTCGAACTGCCAGGAGATGCCGTAAAGGGCGGCGCAAGCCAGGCTCAGCGCCCCCGCCGGCAGCGCTACGTAGCGCGAGTAGTCAGCAGGGAGGGCCAGGGGCGTCAGGAGGCAGGCGGCCCCAGCCAGCACGGCCGTCTTGTGCAGGCAGTTCCCCACGGCCACCCAGCGGGCCGTCTCATCACCGATGCGCGTGGGTTCGATCACGATGTAGCGGTACTGCGCCTCTAGCGCCTGCTCCAGCTCATACTCAAACTGCTCCTGCGCGTTCTCACCGTTGTAGATCTCGTGAACGATGTAACACTCCGCTGCCGCCATCACTCCCCTAATAAAAAAAACAAAGAAACAAAGAAAGAACAGAGGCTTGTTACTCTATGCTGCATGCGCATGTTCTATAAGAGGTAAAGGCACACCAGCCTGAAATGACGAACACCAGCCTTCTGATGTTCTTAATGTTAGAATGTCCAGAAAAAGAACTGAAACTAAATGAAACAGAATTAATTGAGAGTTAAAACATTCTAGATCGTCCCAACAATCAGAGATATGGCTCACCAAACAAACTTTTTTGTTTGTTGGCATTTCTTAAGTCAGTAACACATCACAATATACTTTTCTGAGTATATAATGGACATCACCAGTAATTAAAGAACACTGACCAGCTGTTTTATTACAAGAGAGCATTGTGTAAAACCTTAAATAAACAGCACTTCATTCATAGTTTTTGAAAAAGATTTTTTATATGTAGTACTACTGTGTTTTTTTATCTAACTAAAACCTAAAAAATAGTAATATTGTGATGCAGATCATGTATTGACAAAACCTAGTATTTTATATTCTTGCCATATTGCCCACCCTTACCGCATTTACACAGGCTAAAACACAAAAAGACCATGAGTTTTTCCCCTTCCAGCAATTGATAAGCTGCACACAGCTTAATCTCTTAAAAGTCACAGTAGTCTGGGGCGTCACAGCTGGTGGGATTGTAGTGAAACTGCCTGCCAGGGCCCCTCAGTAGAGAGGGCCCACAGAGACTGATCTTGCAGAAATGCGACCCAAAGGAAAGTATGTTTTAGAAAGTTTTATTAACCTGTGCGCTCAGAAAAATGCTACTTACCTGTGCCTTTGTTTACAGTAAACAGAGGTAACACTTATGCCATTGAGCCGTATAGCCACAGTAATAAGAAACTGAAACAAAGTTAAAAGATTGCAAGTACCTTAAAGAGGAGTTTTACCAATCATTCAAAGTTTCTGCATAATTCATCTCAATCATTCAGATTGTGCTGATGTGAAATGATGGATTGAACAGAAACTGCCAGACTCTGATTTCTTTACAGCAGTGGTGAAATAAACCAGCTGTTATGTCTCCAACACAAACTGTATTTACTATTCAAAATGACCACTGAACCTATAGGGGTCTTCAGTTTTTTATTTATGTAATGTTGCTAACGGTAAAATAGCTGTAAATCTGAAAATATAAAGTTGTTTAGGGGGTTCTATTTTGCCTTACAACACCCTGCATGTACCTCTCCACCATAAACACTAAACCCAAAAGCTTCTCAAAACTATCAAAAAACAATGTCTCAGGCATCAGGCAGTGTATTTGTAACCATTTCACATAACTATCTGTGAACTTCTAGACACATTAAACACTTCCAACGTCTAGTTTCTCTCACCATCTCTGAACAATTCTGACTCTGTAAGATGCCTGGTTCACTTCACATTATCCACTCTAAATAACTTTATTTCTATGATAAAAGGGGTATTCCACTATTTTTTCAAAATTTCGGAATAATCCAGTCCTTGAGATATAAATAGTTATTCTCAGTGGTTTGATGTGAAATGGTTCATTGTAGAAAAACTTACAGATATCTTTAAAGTGATGGCGATAAGAACCAGGGATCGCAATATCTACAACACAAATCTAGCCATCTTATGTTCTATCTGAAACCACCAGTGAACCTACTTGTGTCTTTAAAGTTCTTGTATGTAATGTTGGTCATGGTAAAATAGTCATAAATCTGAAAAGAAAAAAAGTACGTTTTCTTTGGGGACTATTTTGCCTTAGAACACCCTGCTTGTACCCCTCCACCATGGATGGATTAAAATAAATGAATGAAAATACATTTTAAGTCAACATTTCTATCAGACACCAGGCAGCATATATCTAACCAGTTCATGTAATTACTTTCTGTGAGAGAGATTTCAGAGACACTAAACTGATCGCACGTCTGGCTCCTATCACCACCACTGTGAACAGTTCTGACTTGGCAAGTTTTTCTAGAACGGAGCATTTCACATCAAACCACTCTCAACGACTTTGTTCAAATCTCAACCATTTAATTGTGTAGATTTTTGGGGGGGGAAATCGGTGGAATGCCCCTTTAACTCTAAAACGATGTAATGAACTTAGTGTGTTGCTAAGATGCGAGTTATTTCGGGAACAATTGACCTTGCTAAGACAATGTCGCAACAGGAACTTTTAACCACATACAAATAACAAATAACTGGTCAAAACCACAGACCATGAGGTGATGTTTACACTTAGCTACTTAGTTTTAAATTCTAATATATTATGTGACATCCTAAAACATTTGCTAACCTTTGCTAATTCGTTCTGAAGTAAGCTAGGTGTTCCGTTAAACCGTCCTAGGAGAGCTTGAAACGCTGCTTTAAAGACTTTGAAAGAACACCCTCGGCTACCCATCTCCTCAGCTGTTTATACTTGTGAACGTACAAAGCCATCGTGGACATGTCGGTTTCTTTTACCCGCTAGTTTTCGGAACATCTCTGAGCAAGTACGCCAATCAAAACATCCCATGAGGCCAAACCAAACAATGTTTTCCTAACGAGGCACAAGTTTGCTTCCAGTTCGCCACCTTCTAGTTCGAATTTCCCGTTCCACCTTAAACGGTGCAGCAGTTACCTTCTGGCGCCTCCGGATGTAACTGCTGCACCATTTAAGGTGGAACGGTAAAATTTGAACAAGAAGCTGGCGAATAAGTAGCTGACTTCAGGTTCGTGTTTCTTACTTTTCACGGCTGTATCAAACTCTGCGGAGCTCGGCGTTTAAAAGATAACACACAGTCTCGTCGTTCAACATGAACACGAGTATATGAGCTCACAAAGTCGGTCTGAAGCGAGTGTTTTAGTGTAACTGACCTCTCCCTGTTCACTGGGACACCGCGCCTCCTTCCCAACGACGCCATCTTGGAGTACGAGTGCGTTGTTGTTGACGTAAAAAAATTGCGGTAGTGCGATATGGGTAATGTAGTTTAAAGGTTCCCCGCGTTCTAGAATGGCTAAGCGTTAACGCGACCACCCCGAAATACACTTCCCATGAAACACTTCGCTTCAGGCGCCTACCACTTTTTCCAATGTATTCAAAGATATTAATATCCCGTTCGTGTCCGTTTTAGAGGTCAGTTGTGCGTGTTTGTGACACATAAAGACGACAGATGAAGCGTCTACTTGATTAACTAGTCCTTGGATAGTGACCCCACGGTCTGTGTTTACGTTTCGATACGGCGACCAATCGAATGCAAGGACAACAACTCTCAGCAGGACGAACCATTTCTCAAATTTATGCGAACGTTGCACAAAGAAGGTGCATTGACAAAATAAAAATATGTATCACAGGCTTTATAAGGCGCCCCGTTTTCAGCTGCACTGTGAATGAGAGAGGGCTGGGAGTGTTCAGCGGGGCTCTTACCCATACTGTGCTCTTCTCACGCTTTGGCACTGAGCTCCGTCCCCGAGCTGCTGCGCGCTGTGAGCTGCTGCTGCTGCTGCTGCTGCTCGGGAACACGTGCGCGATGTCGCTCTCCGTCTCCCCCCCAGTTAGCTGCGGATTGCATAACACTGGAGCGCAAGGAAAGCTAAAATGTAGCATATATGCGATGGAGGAACCCGGATGGGACAGGAAAGTGCCCAATAGGCCAAAGGGTGAAGCAAAGTATATTAACAGCTCATGTTTAGCACGTTTTCTCTGTGAACACACAGTGGTGCTGATAGGCAGGGTTGGGCATAATACCTGGAAAAAGTCGTGATGGCTGAATACTGAACACACTGTCCTAAATGTATTCAGTTACGGATTCCTTTACATTGCATAAAAAGTAACATTCAGAATACATTTAGAATGTTCCATATCCTAATAACAAAATCTTGCGAACTGGACTATAAAGTAGGTAGCTGTGTAATTTTCAGGTAATAACATGTTTGTAACTTGCCCCAAGATGCATGCACAGGACCAGTACAGCACCGATGCTAAGCTTATCAGTCGAGAAGTTCTGTCATCTCTCAAAAAAGTTTAATGCACAGAACTCATTGTGACATTGGTTTATCAGTCTACTCAGGCTTTAGCTGGAACTTCACACGCTGTGTGCTGATTTTAAAGCAGTTAAACAAGCACTGAGTGTTTCTTTTAAAGATGGATTCAGAATATAGAAATTAAGTACATATTTAGTCCAAGTTACACTTTCTAAGGCAGTGTTCAGAATACAGTTACTTTTTACATTTTTAGGAGAATACTTTTAGAATACTTACCCACTAAATTTAATATATATATATATATATATATATATATATATATATATATATATATGTGTTATATTATATATATATATATATATATATATATATATATATATATATATATATATTATATATATTAAATTTAGTGGGTAAGTATTCTAAAAGTATTCTCCTAAAAATGTAAAAAGTAACTGTATTCTGAACACTGCCTTAGAAAGTGTAACTTGGACTAAATATGTACTTAATTTCTATATTCTGAATACTTGTTCCCAGTACTCCAATATAATATTCAGATACATTCCAACCCTCCTCCATTGAGGCATTCACTGCTTTGTTTGATCTTTGTTTTTTTTTTGTTTGTTTGTTTGTTTTTGGTTTTTTTTTGTACTTCTTGCAGATGTTGTACTAGGGAGCCAATAAGGAGCCAGCATTCAGTGCATTTTTATATTTATTTATTTATTTATTTATTTATTTTGCCAGTAGCATAAAATAAAAGCAGTTTCTTTGTTACACATTTACACTTAAATTTATGCAGACTCACTAGATGTGAATTTGATCATACAGATACAGCAGGAACCTGAGGAATAACAAAACTGTCTGAAGTCTCACACTAGAAGAATATAAATTTCCTATACTGGAAAAAGAAATATAGAAAATCAATAAAAAAAAATGAAAAAGATTAAAATGCCCTAATTGTCACAACTGCAAAAAAGGAGAAATAAGATAAAAAAAATATATATAAAAAGCAAACTAGGCAATCTGACTTCAGTCACTTTGCTGAACCTTCTTGGTTTTATTTATGTTTCCAGTCACATCGTGACAAAACCTTAATTTTGTTTTATCTTGGACATGAAGACTAACCTTACTGTCAGATGCTGTTTTATTAACTACATTTGCAGAAAGTGGGCACTGTGCTGTTGCTGGAATCTGTATAACAATAATGACCATGGACTAATAGGCAGATAAAAAAAAAAACAAAAGGGAAGGACCTCAACTTTATCAGTCTGATTCATTAATCAGGTAATAAAGCAAATCTGGTTGTAACCAACAACCTTAAACTCCACAAAATTACCCAGACAACATTCAGACAGCAAAGTGAAGTACTTAACTGAGATCTGTCTTGTCTATCAGATTTGTGAGTTTAGACACAGCACGGAAACATGATCTTTTGCTCTACTATTCCATCAGTCAGTGTAAACCAGATAGATCTAATTATGGCTGATGGCAGTTTACAAAGGTGTCTTAAGAAAGATCTTCCTAAATACTTAATACTTAAGAAAAGTTGTTTCTCTTCAATAAATTTCTTATAAATTTTCTTCATTTCCTTTCTTAATTTTTCTCTTAAGAATAACTGTAAGAACAAGTGGTGTTCTTGAAAAAAATGATTATTGCATATTTTCTTAACCTTATGACATGTTAGAGGTAAACCTCTAAAAAAGAAACTTCTAAAGATTCCCAAAATATAATTGCCAAAATAGACCAAGTGGGGTTTTTCCCTGTTGACCGTCTCCTCCAACATTTAGTTTGGTAAAGATTTTGAACTTTTGTTTGATTTAGTTATACCTCCATTAGGCTCTGTTCAAGCTCTGAGCAGGTTAAAGTGAATAATCTGTGAATGGAAATTCAGTTAATCCAAATTAAAAATGTATCCCACGTTGTTTATGGTAAGCTGTATAATGTAGCACGATATCGATAGCCTACATAAGAAAGCATTTCTCAAGAGAGCATTTGTGAACTGAACTGAGAACTATTTTTTTAAGAATTGCATTTAAGAACTTTCTTTCTCTCCTAAGTGTTTGTCTTAAGATCCTTTGTAAGCTTTTTCTTAGAAAAGCTTTTGTGAATTTATCCCAGATGTGTATCAAATGAAAAGTTTGACTGTCTAAAAGTCTAGACTCAGCTGAAAAGTACGAAAGGAAACATTCACTAACCACTTTACTAGGTACACTTACCTGTATCTGTTCTTGTTACCATTCACTTTTTAATGTGTTAGCCTTTCTTTACTCAAATCATCAGTGGTCAGGACGACCATTGAGCAGGTATTATTTGGGTGGTGGATCAGTCTCAGCACTGCACTGACACATTAGTGTGTGCTGCACAGCAGTGTCACTGCTGGACTCAACACAGACCACCAACCAAAACAGTGTCCTGTGGACAGAAACTGACTACTGTGTCCTTCATCAGTAGTCAGTAGTCAGTTTCTGTCCTTTCTGTCCTGAAGAACTACATGATGACTGACACAAACTGTGCAGTCACAGATGAGCTGTTATCTTGTAGTTGTGAACCATCAAGGTAGGTGTGTCTACTAGAGTGAACAGTGAGTGAACAGTGTTTAAAAACTCCAGCAGCTCTGCTGCGTCTGGTCCACTCGTACCAGCACAACACACACTAGCACACCACCACCATATCAGTGTCACAGCAGTGCTGAGAATGATCCATCTCCCAAATAATACCTGATCTGTTGTGGTCCTGATGACTACAAACAGGAGTAAAGGGGGTGACAAATTATGTAGCTAAACAGATGGACTCTTAAGAACGGTTGATGAATGAGGCCCTATGACTGTAGGAACTAGGTAGGTATACCTAATAAGCGCACAGTATGTGCACATTCATCTACAAGTTACAGCTTACAGAAGGTCTCATGCTGCTCATCCTGGGGTGTAGGGGTCGCAATGCATGACACTGATATCACAATGCAAAAATATTATGGCATTGAATGCAGTTTAATTGAGCACCAAAGTTTGCAAATAACCAGCACTAAACAACTCACTCCAGCTTGTTCATTAGTATGTTGTGCAATAACATGATTATTATGATGCTCATACCAAGTTATTAGAAATGTTTGAGTAAAATTAATAAATGGTTCCAATCTGATTTAAAATTTAAAACCTGGGTTTGGAACATCATGTAGGCTAATGGCATCAGGAATGTTTATATATTCAGTGCGTGCAGATTACTCAGTTGAAAGTAAAATACATTCAATTTCACTTATGGACGTTACATACCTATGTCTGTGTTTGTTTGTACCTGTGTCTAAGTTTGTTGTATGCATTCACAGAGGCTGAAAAAATAATGTATTCTACTAAGCTTAGCCCTTTTATTCACATCATTCAGCTGTTGCTGATAATTCGTCCTAAAAAGTGCGACCTTAGTAAGGTTGAAGACAAAAAAAGTCTTTCTCGTTTTCCCAACTGACACTGACAAAATTGCAAAAAAATTGCATAAAACGTTTTAAACTTTAATTTCCTTCTGTTCAGATCTTTTAAAGTTTATGCACAAGAAAAAGACACATGTAATCACTGTTATTGTAGAAGGATGCAGTAGGGGTGCCAATAATTCCAACTGGAAGATTCTGAATCCAGTATGTGATGACACAGAGAATGTCTCACTTGTTTTTTACCATTACTATGATTAAAAACATTATTCATAAAACCTTTCTTTTTCTTTGCCGAATTGAACAGCTGCCCATCCTGTGCGTCTGATGCTGCTGCCTCTTCTGCCTTGATCGGGTGCCACTGCTGCCAACCCTCTGGACCAGCTTGACCACCACTGAGCTTCATGCTGTACAAAGCCATGCAACCTCACCCTCACATCCTGACCCCATTGATGCTGCTGCATAAACTAAACTAAGCAAATTAATAATTTGCTCCACCTGTTTTCCCCGTTTTTGTACTAACATTTACTATCCGGTGTCGACCAGAGGAGTATGTGTTCCCCTTCTGAGTCTTGGTTCCTCTCAAGGGTTCTTCCTGTTTCTTAGGGAGTTTTTCCTTGCCACTGTCACCACTGGCGACACTCATGAGGGCTTGGACCCGGATTTCTTTCTGTAATGCTGATTTTTTTTTGTAAAGCTGCTTTGTGACAACACCTGTTGTAAACAGTGCTATATAAACTTTGCTTGCTTGCTACATTCTGTGAATTCTATCAATAAAACGTGAATTTTCTAAGAGATCAATAACTGATGTTACAAACAGCAACATTACTTGGTACATATATTTATTTATTTAAAAACATGAATATTAATATAGAGCACATAAATGCATAAAAACGTGATGAATTTCAGGCATCTTTTCGTCTGTGTGATTCATAGGTCACAACCTTTAACAGTAACAGAACAGACTACAGCAAGCCTCTAAACGTGTAGAGACGACGACCATCATTCTCATCAAAGTCACTGATGTTGCTACGGCTGTTTGAGTGACAGGGCAAATTTTGTCGCTGTTATTATTTGAGCACCGAACTCACCCTGTTTAGTGGTGGACTTCACTGCCGCCATCTCTGATAAGGCCATGGGGAAAGGGAGGTATAACACACACGCTCACTCTCTCACACAGACGACAGGTAACTCACGCATGCGTCTGTTATGCGAACCCACCCAAGCACGTTACAGGCTCCCTGTGCTAAACGACAGTATTGTGTGTTTAAAGTGTCTATCCTGAGAGGTTTTTGTCCCTAGTTTGCAGGGGGGTCGTCTCAGGAATTTCAACACTTTTACTGGCCCTGGTTGGCAAAAAACATGCCACACTCAAACCTACAATACATAGTGGCTATTTCTTAATGTTACATTGACCTGTGCTGTCCATTAATCAGCTTTCAGTCAAACAAGTTGAATATTTTTGCATGTAAGTGAGAGTGAAACTGTAAATAAGCACCACTGGACCTGAAGGCATTGGGCTAGAGAGGCATGTGAAGTGTAACATAACAGTAACAAGCTAAAACTGACTGTCTTCCATGGTCGTGTTCTCCATAGATCCTTCCTTGTTGGCTAAAGGATCCATTAACCACAGTGTCCTGAGAGCTGCAGAAACAGGCCTGTTTGTCCACTTCATAGTGCATGCCTTGTCTGCTCTTAAACAGAATGCATGCTGCAAAGCAGACACTTTTGTAACCTCACCCGTATAGTTGCAAATGCTTTCTGTCCAACGTCCATTCTCTCTTCTGTTTTCTGATGACCAGTTAAAACAATTGGGAATACCCAGCCACCCCCACCCCCAGCCACATACGCCCCGCCCATCCAAAGCACCCAAACAGTAATGAGAGTCCATCACTTCCTGTACCCATGTCCCTCAGTGGATGATATGCTCCAGGTACTGGGGGTGGGGGTTTTCTTTGACGTACTTTTGAATGTACCAGCAGGTCAAGTGAGCCTTGAGGTCTTCCTCAACCACAAAATCCATTGCCGCCTAAGAGGAACATGGAGGATGAGCTCAGAATAGCATTTCCAAGAAGAGCCATTACACACCAAACAAGTTGGACTGGTTACAGTGGCCCCAAAAAGTCTTTGGACACTTTAACCACTGGTCAACTTCAATGAAGTTCTTTAGGTTACTTCATAAAATGTTTAGCAAAAAAAATGTCTGCTTCAGAGAAAAATCATTTTTAGCATAACATCAGAGTCTGTGTGAAGAAAGCTTGAAGAAGAATTCTGTCCAGACTGCACTAAGAGAACTGTATAGCACGGATGTGTAAACATCAATGTATGGGGTTGTTTTTCTTATGGGTTCATTGTGCAAAAGCATCTTGTATACAAACCTGCATAAGTATCCAACTGCTCAACTGCTTCATAACGATCTAAAACTTATCAGCTGCCTTTTGAAATAATACTTTGCCAAAAAGAAAATTTGTCTTGAAATGGCCTGTTTAAAATATATGCTACTTTGCATATTTTATTACCTAACACAATGAACGTAATAGATATTTAAGTGTGGCACAAATGTCCAAATACTTTTGGGGGGCACTGTATGTTCTGTTAGAAGCAGATACCGTTTTACCTATTATAGATGCAGTGGTGGAACACATTCAAAATTGTAACATGGACAGATAAACTGGGGTCATTACCTACACATTAGTTTCCAGGTAACTTTAGTTAAATTATGATACTCCACCTTGGCCAGGTGTTTGGCAATGCCCCGTCCTCTGTAAGCATCCGGCACCTCAGTGTGTTGCAAGTCCACTGTCTTCTTCCCCACATATTCATACAGTAACACAGCCCTGTCATAAGAACCTACCACACAAAAAAGAATGAGAAATACTGAAAAACCTCTTCCCAACCACATCATCTCTGATCATGGTTTCACTTACAAAAGGAATTCATGCTTTATTAAGCTTATTTTGGACTTGTGCTAAAATTTTTGTCAGTTACAGTGGAGGTATGCTATAGAGGGCTGCCCTAAAGGTAGCATGTGAGCCAAAAGATGTTTGATTTGGCCCATAAGAAAGTTCCTCTCATCCAATGAAAGAACTGGAAGCAATTTTATACCAGCCATAAAGGGTCAGTTTAAAATTGTATATTTCCAGTCTTTTTAGCCCTCAGCCCATCACAAACATTGCACTTTGGTCACCAAGACAAATAGTTTGGGCGTGGTAACACTTCACTGAAGGACAGTATTTGTAAGGCTAAAAGACACCTACACAAGCCTTTCAGGACAATTGACATTAACCCACATAAACATTAGTCGAGGGTTTTTCCAACAACCGCCAGCTGTCATAAAGGCTGCTTTTGTCTATGTGATGTCACCTCAGAAAATGTTATGACAACTAAGGCTTTTTAAAATGAGCCTTTATAAACGCCTATACAGGCTTGTGTGAGTTGTAATGAAAGGCTGATGCAGGTGTGGTGTAGCTTTATGAACGCTGCCCTTCAGCAAAGTGTTACTGAGAGCATAAACAGTGTGGCCTAATTGTGGAGCAGCCTACTTCGACTAATTGAGGCGCTTCATCTGGGCTATTATGAGAATATATGTCTTGATGTTATCAGCAACAATGACGTAATGTTGTTCAAATAATCATCTCCACAAAAAAGGTAAACCAGGAGGAAACCATGTTGAAAGGAAAAGCAATTCGCTGGCTTGTTTTCCACAGATAATAATCTTTGTTATTGATGTAACAGGAAGTCAAACGAAGGCTGGCTAACTGACTACAGCTGGAAAACAATAAAGTCATTCAAAAATGGCACAGTTTCTTTCAGAAATAACGCCTAACAAACTACGGTCTTTTAAGAATTCAGTGTACCTCAACAAAGTAGATTTGTAAATCGTAGCTGGATACATCAAAAAATGCTTGGTACGCTCATATGAGCTGACTCGTAGCTAAGGTTGCCAAAAACAATTTACATTATCAGCTAGCTAAGCTAAGCTAGCTGGCGAACTTGTTTACGTGATCAGGTTAAATTCCGTTACTACATATACACGGTTTGGTAGCTGTATGCGCTGAAGTACAGGGCACACGAAGAAAAAGTCAATGTTTCTACGGTAACGTTATTGTTTATAGAGGAGACAGAACCAGCTAACGTGCCACAAAGCAGTCCGCACTGGTGAGGACTCCTTCCAGCTAACTAGCCAGCTGGCTAACTAGCTAGCCCATATCACTCAGCTAGGCTGCTTGTTATGAAAACAAAGGTAAAACACAGCCGCTTGTGAAGCTATTTTCCGGCAGCTCCGTCGCCCAGCCAGCTGAAGCGACCAGCTCAACTGAAGCGTCTTTACCGTTGAGACGGATGCTGAACTGTCGTCGTTTTTTGTCGTGCTCGACGCGGATGGGGCTGCTGATTTCGAGGACGTTCATCTGAGCGGCCTGGGCCATGGTGCGTGGCGGAGGGGGAAGCGCTGTGTGTCGGTCAGAGCGCTGCGACCGATGCAGACTCGCCGAGAAGCGGGCTCATAGCCGGGATGGCCCAGGCAGAGTGAGGGCGTACAGACAGCTCTACAAAACACTCCATCCAAGGAAAATCAGCTGTGAGGCCACGTGTCCGTTTCGGCCAATGAGGAAGCTCGGGCAATGTTTTGATGCGCGGCCTCGTGATGCACTTGCCGCACCTGACCGCTAGATGGAGACATTTACACTTTCAAGCTACATTTACACTATGTGTCCAAAGGTATCCAGACGCCCATGATACAGACACACATAGCTATAATCTACATGAAAAAACATACCAAATAGGGTGAGACAGGAGCCTTAGTTCACCATGCGTAATGCCAAGCGTTGGTTAGAGGGATACAAAGCTCCCCCAGCATTGGGCTGTGGAGCAGTGGAGCTGGAGTGCTGGTGCTTTATTTAATACCTGTGAGATGAGTTGGAGAAGCGTTTGTGATCCAGAACTAGTCATCCAACATCAGCAACAGACCTCACTAACGTTCTTGTGGCTGAATGCAATCAAATCCTCAGAGCAATGTTCTAACATCTAATGTAAAGCCATCCCAGAAGAGCAGAAACTGTTGCTGCAGCAAAGAGGGGCAAACTGCCTTTTAATAACCTTGGATAAGTTGTCTACAAACTTTTAGTGTGCAAAGAAATGAGGAGAAACTTTATAGGCCAATGTGGATTAAAAGCCTAGGGTGTTTCTCAACATGCATTCAAAATTGCAATGCCCATGGTGATTCACTATTGAAAATCCTCATTAGTGTAGGCTTAGGCTTAATCTGTTGCTAGGAAACTGGCCTTATATCGCTTATAACAGCAAGGTGCTGATAATGCATTTTCTTAAATGATTATGAACAGACTAAAATATGAAAAAGATTAGACAGCTCACAGCGATCCGAAGTAGATTATGTTTACAGTTCACAGATCCACTGAAATCAAATGAAATATTCTAATCATTTATACCATTGAGTGTTGGATGCAGTTACTAAGTTCAGTGCCACAACTTTCCCCAAATATGTGACCATATGAGAGTGTTTTAACCAGCTAACTTGTGCCAAAAGTCAAGTCTGTTCAATAGGAGGAGACATATGGCACATTCTTTTGGGGCAGTTTTCACAATGGGCTTAAATTAGCCAGCTTTACTGGGAAATCCTGCTTTGTGAAACACCCTCAGACTCTCAGCTTAGATTGTAAATGTTTCAAAACATAAGCAGGTTGAATCTCACTTATTCATTGCTGTGGGCCATTGTACACTTCTACCAGTGTTCTGTAGTGAAGGCCTGATGCTAGAGGCCACAGAAGCTCTAACCAAACCAGTTTCTCCAAAGCTGCTCATGGATCTTCTACTACAGTGATCTTAGTTTAATTGGAATGTGACAGCCTGCAGTTCAGGATTTATTATTATTATTAGTAATAATAATAATTGCTTCTAAGTTTAGCTCTTAAACGGGGGTTCCAGCCTAAAACTAGCATTTCATATATTAATTTTATGTTATGTTATGTACTATTCTGTAGTGTAGCATTGCATTGGCTTCATCTGTTTGATAGAGAAATCCTGACTGCTGCAGCAGCCACTGATTCTTGAGGCTAAAAAAAAAAACAACATTTAATATATAGCTTAGTAGCAGTAGCATTAGCTAACTGGCTTCCTTCTGCATTAGCCAGCTGGTGGGGAAAAAAGCCTGCCCTTAAGTATCCACCTTAAAGCGCTTGTAGTTTTTCAAAAGTTCCTACCACCTTCAAGATACATCATCAAAAGGGGGTTTTCCTAGTCTTTAAACTGGAAAAGCTCACTCTAGAGAATACTCCAGCACCGCTGCAGGAGGCAAGTAGGCATGTTTAAAACACACTTAGCCATGGATACTTTTTCATTTTGGCTGGAGTGTCATATTAAACTTTGTTCAGTTCACTTTACCTTGATAGAGGAGAGCTGTATAAACTCTTCAGGCCAAGACCATTTTTACCACATGCACGGCTCCCCAGGTGTGCTGCAGGTCAAAGAGCAGTGGCTTAAAGCAGGTGGACGGAGACTCAGAGACACACAGAGTTCAATGATTTATATCCCTCCTAGTAAGACAGAGGTATGCATACAACTAACAAGACACATCCACTTAGCAGACTAAGAGACAAAAGGCACACAGTCTCAGACTTTGCCCGAGATGATTATGATATGCAGACAAACACACATGCACACATTGACATGTAGGACACACAAAGACAGTACTAGAAAGATGTAAAAACATGATTAAAAAAGCACCCAAAGTAGGACAAAATCATTAAATTATGGTTATGACTTTGTCCATACATTATTATAGCTCTCAGGTTACCCACTGCCCAATGAAATGCTTATAGAATATGGATGAACATGTTCTGAGCATGGTGATATTTCCACACAGGTTATGTTGGCTAGCAGAAAGGCAAACTTTGAGCTTTTTACCCCCTTTCCCTCTTCATACTGACATAATCGTTATAATCTCAGCGACTAACAAAGAAAAGGCTAAATTGGTCTTGGCTAGCATAACAGAGCAGCTCCCATTAAAGGCACAGTTTTACTTTATTTTTAATGACACACGTGTTCGCAAACACCTGCTACACAAGGAACTTCGTTCTTTTACTCGTCTGTGTATCTGGAGGATTAAAAGCTTTTATCCATTAGGGGGCAGGTCAGAGCAGAAAGATCCCAGGCTGGCATCACGAAACCTTCCATGACTACTTCTGACTTTTTTGATTCATGGAGTTGCATGGAGAAATACATAAGAGGATATTGTAGACAAACTATGTTCTTTCTGACATAGTTGCAGTTGGTTCAGTCTGCTGCTAAGGTCACATCACATTATGGTATACTGCCTCCAACATTTATGTTGGTATTGCATGTGGTGGACACCTAGCAGGATACATGAGGCAGCCATCTTGTGCTCAGATATGCGGAATTATGGAAAGCATAGCTGTGCCTTAATACCACCCCTTCTCTGTTGTATCAGAGTTTGCACACTGCTCATAGTGTGTGATATTCACATGTAACTGTATATTTAGCTTCACTTTAAGGCTTTGGGTATGTATAAGTTTGGACATGGCTGGGTATTTCTAAGGCGACTGTTGTCAATCCTAGTCTTTGGAGTACCCTCATCTTTTGCACTTGAGTGTTTTCTTTGGCTCTAACGTGCCACTTTAAGTCAGAAAAGTCCTAGTAATTAGCCTTGCTAACTTTGACTCGCCACTCTGAAGTGCATCATACCTATGTTACACAAGTGGCCGCTCACAGCACAAGGGGAGCAAGGGACAGTAAGGGGCGAATTATTTAGTCAGTATATAGTCACTCACTGTTAGGTTAGCCACAGTGAGCTAATTAGTCATACAAACTTTATCACGCAGAATTTTTTTTGAGACGTCTGAGTATAATGTACATACATCTGGTGAAAATTATTTTCAGGTTTGCAAAGGGAAATGCATCAGGTCTCAATGATTTCTGGGCACATTTTGTCATTGAAGTCAGTACTTGAGGTCACTTGGTCCCTCGCCTCAATAAGGGCTCTTCTAATAAACTTGTGCTAATATAGTAATGGAATGGCTCTTAAGACGTTTGGGTGGTCATCGACAACTGGCAAATTTATATCATGTCTGCATGATGGACCACTAACATCCCTCAGCAAAAAATCTATTGTTGGTTTCTTACTGATAATGCCTGTCTGCTCTCTACAGGTATGTGTAAGGTTATAGTAATTTACGCACATGATACAGAAATTTAGGTATCAGTCATACATTGTTTACCACATGGTAGACTACACTGTTTGCCGGCTTGATCGACTTTGTTCACATGGTCTAAGACATTGTGCTGGCTAGTGGCACTTTACGACTTAATTTACAACTTTGTCACCCATTTGTATGCAACTTGCTTGCGGTAAACTGGGAAATTTGTAGGTTTATGAGGACCACCTGAACACACCAGTTTTCTAATACTACATGACCACAGTAGAGTTGGCTTTGGTCCATCCCAAGATTTATGGATATTGCTCACGTGATAGATTTACCACTTGCCGATGACCACCCGAACCAAACAACAGGTAGTTATGATTTGGTCACAAGACAATTTTCCAGCTTTACAAATTGATGAGAACTGTCCGATTTGGATCAGGTGTTTTGGAGCAAGCAACCCAAAAACACCAAAGCATGCAAGACAGGGTTACTCTAGGACAAGTACTGGGAACCACTCTTTTAAGGCCTTTCTTCCACTATCTTCCTAAGCCTGTTTATGATATCCTCGCCACTGCTCCAGGGCACCACATTGGCCTTGTACTCTCCAGGTTTAGCCTCCTCCATCTCTTGGATCAGCCTATGCATAGGGAAGTCGCGCCTAGGAAAAGCTGTATCCCCCGGCGAAAGTGTGAGCGATGGACAGAAGTCGTTGGCTCCATCTCCAACGTACAGAACCTTCTGGTATCGTCTACCACCTCTCTCGCGAACCCGCTGAGCTGTATACTGCCGCACAATCTCCGCCTTGCACATGTTCACCGGGCACCGCAGGCAGCTGTGGGTATGGAATGGGCGGAGCTGCAACTGGCCGTTATCGTCAAAGTGGGCAGGGTTTGCGAAGATGCGCAGGAAAAGCTGGCGGAAGCCCAGATTCTGCAGCCATGCCTCGATGAAGACCGTGTTGGCATCAGACACACACACAATTTCAAAATCCCGCGGTGGGCGGGACATCAGGAAGCGCAGAAGTGCCGGAATACCCGGGCATGGCGGAAGTCGCTCTATCGTGTTGATGATGGTCCCTGGAGTGACACCCTGCTCAGCCAGGTAGGCCAGCACACGCTGCATGTACTCGTTATACCTGCCCGGTCGATATGTGTCTTTCAGCCAGCTGGGAAGAGAGCCACCAGGTGCCGCGCTAACCACTGCGTCATCACTGCACTCGTCCACCAGCGTCTCGTCAAAGTCGAAGAAGATCAGGAAGCGTCGGTCATTAGGGGGTGGAGCCGACGCTCTATTGCCATGAAAATTGGATTCGTCCCGTCTGCTTGAAGGAGGATGAGGCGGGGCAAAACAGCAATTGAAGACAGAGTCCCGCATCGTTAGCAGTGATGCACACCTCACAGACTATTTCTGTTCTTCTTTTTCTCTCTCCTTAAAAGAACAAAAGAGGTGAACTGAAAGACAGAACAATAAAAATACAGAAAAAAATAAGAAATAGTGGTCGTGTGAACATTTCCTATCATGGTTCTTGGTATTATTATGGTATTGTTAAAATATACTGAAAATGTTTAATAGCGCTACTACAAAGTGAAAGTGTTTCACCACAGGCACTGATAGACTTTTTATTAAACCTCTCATATTTCTGTATAACTTCAAAGTTTAAAATTTAAGTAAAAACAGTTAACTGTTTATTATCACTGTTTACTCTTCTGATTATAGCTATGTAAATTGTTTTTCCACAGCCAATGTAAATGTGAAAATATAGAAGACAAATCTAATAACACTATAATAAAAAATGTGTTTTAACTTAAAAAAGGTTAGTTGCCAGGCTGCATTAAAATTTTGAATTAACAGAACTTTAGTAAGTTAACAGAACAAAAATCTGTTTTACTCTCTGTTAATATATTGTCTGAAGTTCAGTTAACTTGAAATTTTAAGACAGCCAGGTAACTACACTCTCAGAAACAAAGGTATGAAACTGTCCCTGGGGGGCACCCTTATGTGTGCATCTCAGTACCTTTAGTCAGGGAACATAATTGTACCATAATCCACTGATATTATATTTATAATATATTATAAGTTATATTGACTTCACACACCCCGTCTCATCTCCAGGCTTTTATTTTATTGTTCTGTTTTAAATCTTTGGATTATGAAAAGGTACAAATACACACTTTTTACTTGGGAATAACTTATTTAAGGTACACAATTGGACTTAAAACTACTGTTGTACCTTTGATGGTACTTTTACATTGTTTGTACCTTGATAAACAAAATATGTGCCTGCACAGCACCTTTATTTCTAACAGTGTACATTATTTAATTTAAAATATCAGTGTGTAATTTATAGAAACATTATAAGGATGTTATTCACTATGCTGCCAGATTGTTTTTGTGTCATATTATTTCAGCTGAAAAACAATAGTATATCAGGAAATAGCAGCCTTGATTCCAGCTGTGAGACAGTGAGTTCTACACTGTGATCTGGATCCGCTACAGTTTAACTGTAGAACAGAGTGGACTGCAGTCTGAAGGGCTCAACTCAGTGAGGTTACAGGATTCAGTGGGACAGTAATGGTGTTCAAAAACCAGCTTAAGTGAGCGCACAGATTTTTTCCCTTCATAAATTCTGCTCTAAAACCAAAAATGACAAGTGTATTGAAATTTGGACTTCACAGTGGTCTCAGGTTACAGTCACTGTAACAGAGGAGAAAAAATAGAAAAAGTTAACCTTCGGTTGAGATCATGAGGTGCACTGACTTTAGATGTGCATGTCTACAGGATCCTGTGTGGAAAATCTTTGGCAGAAACCCATCGACTGTGATAAATCAGGAATAAAATCAGGAACCTTCTGCTAACAAAAAAACAAAAAAAACACCTATATTAATTTAAGCTATCAAGTAATTTTTGCTACTTTTTTGGCTTTTTATGTCAACTAATTTACGCTTCTTTAATTCTAGTACTTTTCTGAAGCACATTGAGATGCTTTAATATGTAAAAAGCGCTATACATAAACATTATTATTATTATTATTGTACAGGCATATGACCCTCAGTGGTATCATGCAATACAATACAATCCACCAAGGCAGATAAAAATTCCTTTATGTATTTTTAGCTTTCAGATAGTTTAGTTGCCTTTTTGTCTTTTGTTGTTTATTCATGTATGCCTCTTTAATTTTATTATTTTTTTTTTTCCTGAAGCACACTGAGCTGTGATTTTTTTCAGCACCTCAAATAAAATAAGAATGTAAAAGAGAACATGATGTTTCAGTAACAGTGCTGTATGCCACTGAAAGACGACTTGGTCTAGTTTACAGATATTCACTAAACGCCGGCGAGGCTCTTTACCTGAAGCTGTACATCCAGCAGAAAAACGTCTCCTTGCTGCTCCTCGTTTTAATCCCGCTGTGCGACGCTGAGTTTCCCTCACTTTCCTGGTGGTGGTTTATAACGGCACTGAGTCGAAGCTCCGCCCCCGCGGAGTAATCCATTACACAACAAACAGGAGGGACCAAACTCAGATTTACTCAGCTGGATGTACTTATTTAGCTATAATTCTGATGAATTTGTGCTTTTATGAGCATTTCCAAATAATACCTCTACCCAAGTATAGCTGTACGTATAAGTATTATCTACCTAGTGAGCCTTACTAACTCATTTAATTTCTGTTGGTTGAGCTCCTGGACGTTTTTGTTGTTGCTTGCACATCTCACTTTGGAGCTTTAGCATTTTTAGGCATCGCAAAGGGAGAAGAATTGCCCCTAACAAACTTTATCCCATAGAACTAAACAGGCTAGAATTAAACATAATTACTGTGCCTTTAAGACTAATACATGAGCCCTGTTCTGTTGGCTGTCCTGTATTGCATCTCATTCACAAAGCACCTAGAGCTGAAAAACTCCTTAGAACTTAGCATGAATGGGTGGGGCTAAACTGCTGTAGGCTGAATTGGTAGACTGATGATAAATTAGGAAATCAGTTTGTTTTTGTGACATCAAAGAAATGATTAATTTAAAACAGGTAGCATAGCATAGTTCACATATATGAACTTTTTGGTGAATTTTGAAATTTTCAGTGTTCACATATTACAGTCATGTATTATTACTCAAACTCAAAAACAAAAACAAGGGAAGTTGTTTCCCATGATATGGGCTTTTTTAACAGTGTTGACATATTACATCATATGTTTTCTTTTTTTAGTGAGGAAAAATCATTTTCCATGATAGGCCTCTTTAAACAGTGAGAGCACCCAAACTACTGAGACACAGCACAAGCCTTCAGGTTCCCAGTACGCTGTTTGCAACTGTACCGTGTGTTTAGACATGGTGAGAACTTCTAAAAAATTGGTGAAAACAAGCAATACAGTGTGAAGCATCTGTGAGATAATTGGCCAGAGTGGAGACACAGCTGTGAGCCTGAATGCATGGAAAGTCTCGTTCTCCCTGATTTTTGTAAAATAAAGCAATTTTATCCCTTTCCATGCTTTTTACTATAAAGCTTTGTCTCTCATCTATATACCCTTCCTTCTTTCCTCCCTTCCTTGTCCACTTGTAACACCCCTTTAATAACAGGGTGCTGGGCAGGCTATTTTGGGCAGTGGTGTAGGAGCGCAGATGCACTTTGTGTATGTCTCCTTAAATCAGAGCACACAGTATCATCACCTACTTGCTCTAACTGGAGGTTTGAACGCCTGACTCGGATCCACTTTTCACTGACTCACATCCTCATTGGAGTTTCCACAGGAACATAATTTCAGAGAATGCTCATGCAGAGAAACCAAAGGTTAATGTTGTTGCAGAGTGTTTGAGCATGGCTAAGGACACATAAAGCTCAAAGAGACAGGCTAAGCAATTCTGTGTCAATATGACCAACCCTTTACAGTCTACACAGAGATAACTTCACGCTCAGAGTGAAGGCTCTCAGCTACACTGTCCTTTGACCCTTTACTAGCCAGCTTGTGGACGTTTGTGGTCCTTTTTTGGTCCCTCTGTATTTTGGAGACAAACATACAGCCATATTAGATGGAGTTTGTCTAAGGCGTTCACTGATTGATTGCATCATCAGTTTGGTCTCAGTTTGTTCATCCCCATCCAAAACAATATTAATATTTAACACTGGCTTCAGCATCATGGTTTTTGTGGAAGACCATTCCACACTTCACTAAGTAACTTTGTTTTTCTTTGGTACACAAATGCCCAATGTTTTGCAGATTTGGTGGAATATTTAAAGCTGCACTATGTAATTTTTGATTAAAACTGAAATTAGTAGTATTACTAAGGAGAAAAACATGCTTAAACTTGGTCCGCATTGCTGCAAGTCGCCCTGTAAAGCCTGACAATTATGTGTCGGATCAGATTTGGGGGGAGTTTTTCATACCATGTTGTCTTTAACTTGTTAACATCGCACACAGGCTCAGAAAGAAGATCCGACACGATGGTTAGGTCTCAAATGCAAAATCATCATTATGCTGATAAAAATATGATGATGACTATGGTAGATAATTAATCTCAAATGCAAAATCATCATTATGCTGATAAAAATATGATGACTATGGTAGATAATTAACCAAATCCCCAAAACATAGTAAAGCTTTAAACTGTAAAAAGGTTCTTTACACTCACATCTCATTTGTGAAAATAGTTCTTTAAATAAGGATCCACTGAAAGGTTCTTTAGGGAACCAAAAGAGGTTCTTCTATGACATGAGAACTGTTTTAGCACCTTTATTTTAAGAGTGTACTTTTTCTTATGCTGACCCCTGGTCAGGGTTTGCTGACCTTTAACCATTAAGAGCAGCTGAGCTTGACGTCTTCCTGAAGCATGGTAAAAGTTGACATGAGGACAGCCTGAAGTAACCCACACTTTGGTAATGATTCTGTATTCTCTGCTTATCTAATCACTATTTTACTTCTCCATAATCACCACAAGTACCGAACAGCTGTCTCTGTGGACTAGACAGAAAAGGGTCAAAGGGTCAGCAAGATCAAAACAAAACGAGAGCTGGTCTGACCATGACCACAATCCCCTGACCCATTTCCGTATTCAAGGCACATGAGAAACTTCTTTTTTCTGACAACCACACAAATAATGACAAAGTTTGAAATATGGCTACTTAATCTTTTTACTTCCTAAAGTTAGCAGAAAGTATGTTAAATGAACATTATAAAAAAAGGCCCATCTGTAATACATGTCCATCGTTATTTTTTATAAACAATCAAAAGATGACAACAAAAAAACAAACATTGAAATGAAACTTGAAGATGGAAGTTGGCAAAGCCGCACATCTGAGTACCAGACACAGTGATGCAATCATACACTGCTACAGTCGAGTGGTAGAAACGGGGAAAAGGGACGAGTCCTCTGGAGTCCTCAGAGTTTTACATTAACCTGGTCTGCTTATATGTCTTAACTAGAAAGGTTTTAGTAGAAAGTGCATTCTATTAACCAAGAGAAAAGGAGGAGAATCATAAGTCTTTAAAAAAGGGATGCACCAATTTGGGAATTGTGGGCCGATGCCAATATTCAATATTACTTCATGTACATATCTGCTGATGCGGATAAATTAACTTATACAGAACATAGAAATTAGGACTACAGCTACCATGATTAACATAAGTGAAATATATCATTTATTTCTACAGGGTTAAGTAGCAAGATTAATAAAATGCAGATATTTTAGCGCAGTAGCCCAGTGTCAACTAAATATTCTTTTCTTCTGGAGTACAATAAATATGGCATGAAATATCTATCAAATCTAATCGTCCATCCGATGCAGATTTCTTTTTTTTTAAGCAAGTATCTGCCGATACACATACGATTCCAGTATCATTGTACATCACTACTTTAAAACAATAGTACGCTGGATCAAGCGAAGGAACAGTTCTAGACTGATATCCAAATACAACAATAAGCCTTTATAAGACTTTCCAAATGAGAACAGGCAAGATCAATAAAAAGAACATTAATTATAGGACAGCTTTAAAGGTTCAAATAATATGAAGACCCTCAACTGGTAACATAGAGGCCCATTTTGCTGTGTTGATTCTCCTCCTTTTCCAAAAGCCAATCAGCTCATACAGATGCAGCCGCTGGACACGATCAGCAATGTTTTGTCAGTTTCAGGTCAAACCTGTAATGCAGCAGTAAAGTGCAGAGAATAGACAAACAAAATAGGGCTTTTAAACACGCACACAAATACACGCTCTTACACAACCAAAATTTCATTAACCAAAAAAAAAAAATAATAAAAAAAGGCTAGTGAGAACCTTTTTTGATTTGCCCACGCACCTTTTCCAAAACCCTCTTTGCACACTCATGCCACGATATCATTTACACGATATGTAAAAGACATGTTCATGTAAAAGACAGAGAACTTAACAAGCAGCTTTCAATGCCAGCACCTCCAGGGGTATAATGAGTCATGAAAACATACAGGTGCTCACTACAGCGCCCTTCCTGCACATTCTATTGAATAAACGAGTACAAATAAACCTCTTCTTATCTTTTTTTAGCCCAGAACACACTCACGCTTAGAAATTTTCTTTAAAAACAGTAACAAAGTTTACAAATTAAAATGTCAGGTAAGTGGGTTAGATCATATAGAACATAATTAATGAATTATTCATTTCTTTCAGTTCATCATGACACATCACAGCATTGGTCATTCTCAACAGTCTCGCACTGAAAACGTCTTCCAGAACGCACTCAAGTTCTTTTCCAGAAAGCACACTTTCAAAGTCAACAACAAAAATTTTTCAGTGGAACACACAATCGATTCGACAACAACCAAGAAACAACAAAGTTAATGTTACCTTATCTATTGAGTTTAAGTGCCCAAAAGTCTGCATGTGTGGGTTTGTATACACGCACAAACAAGTGTTTATATATATATATATTTGAGAAAAGTTGTATTCCCATGAAGAAAAGGTTGAACTGCATTTCTCTTTGTTTTGTAAAACTGAATTTCTCTGAAAAGTTAGAGCTTCCACAAGTAAATGTTTCAAACCCGTAGAACCTTGGCAGCAGCAGCTGGGTACATTACAGAGAGAGAGACAGAGACAGAGAGAGAGAGAGAGAGAGAGAAAGAGAGAGAGAGAGAGAGAGAGAGAGAGAGAGAGAAAAATGTATGGGAGAATGAGAGAGCAACACAAATACATTAGAGAGAAAACAAGAAATACTTTGACAGAGGGGTGAGTATGGCAGAACAAGAAACTGAGAGGAATTACATCAAGAGAGAGTAAATAGATTGCGAGAGAGAAAGAGAGAGAGACAGAGAGAGAGAGAGAGAGAAATAGTTTGTGCCAACTCAGTACAGTGGCAGGTTTTCATCATTATGATGCAAGTGGAATCTTTCCATAACGGTTTATGAGGTGTAAAATAATGCTTTACAAGGTTGTCTGCGTGCGTTTTGCTTTGACAGAGAAGGTTCATTGAGGTCACCAGACTGAAAAATCCTTTCTGATCACATTTAAGCTTCTAATGAGGAAATGCACAGTCAGCAGCTGAGTGTGTTCCTCAGCAATCTTGCTGAGTTTCACTCTTACACAAATGAACTGACAGTATGTATGCAAGTGTCTTTACTTGTTTCTGTGGCCCTCAGCTGGCTCAGGGCAGGTCAGAAGGTTTTGTGTGGTTTTGTATGGTTTTCAGTGGTGCTGTGCTGACCCCTGTCTCAGATACGTCTCCTCATGTGCGCAGTGGTTGATTGGCTCGCTCTTAAACAGGGCAGGTGGAGGGGGCAGGAGAGAGGACGGGACGGAAAGGTGCTGACTCGTCATGGGGGCGTGTCCAGAGTGATGGACAGGGGTATGGGTGTGTGTTTGGTGGTGCTGCGTGGGTGTGGCTGACATATGCAAATGGGAAAAGCCATGTCCAATCCCACCTCTCTGACTGAGAGGCCCAGAGGCAGACCCGATCATTCCTGGGTTGACGGCCGCGATGGTGGATGTGGCTTGAGAGGGCTGGGGTGTGCTGGGGGCGTGGCCAGAGGAAGAAGGGGTGTGGCCTGATAGATGGATGGGCAGGGGCATGGTGGAGGGCTGCAGGGTCATGGGGCTGGTGACCCGGAAGCACTTTTCGCGATGCGCTTTAAGCATGTTAGAGAAGCGGAAGCGCTGGCCGCACACCTCACATGGATAAGGCTTCTCTCCGGTGTGTGTTCTGCGGTGACGCTTCATATTTGGCCGGCTGGTGAAACTCTTCCCGCAGATCTCACAGATAAATGGCTTTTCACCTAGAGAGATGAAAGAGCAACAAAAGCTATGATACAGGGTTGATGCGGTACAAATTCAAGAGCTGTGTGAACACAAAAACTGGATCTTTACAAATCAGATATGATCCACTTTCACATATGATCCTAGATTGGACACATATCTGATACATACCTTCTGACAGATATGTATCCTGTCAGTGGTCATAAAGTCTCCTCTGAAGGTATTGGAATGGCAAGGCCAATTCTTTTGTTTTTGCTATACACTGAAGGTATTTGGGTTTGAACTTAAAAGATGAATATGAGAGGATCAGGGTTGGGATAGCTACTGAAAAATTAGTAGCTAGCTACAAATTTCGGGGAAGTGGCTACAAAGTAGCTACTTTTCTAGAAAAAGTAGTGGCTACTTTTTAGCTACTTTTTGAAAAGTAGTGCACTACTTTTTAGCTACTTTCAAAGCGCAACTGTCAGAATGTTTGTGAACAAGACACTGCATTTAATCATGTGCCAGAAAGAAACATACAGTTGAAAAGCTACAAATATAAAAAAGATCACCAAAAAGTAAGTTTAAATGTAACCAACAATCAAACCTTCACAACCAAAGGTGTGATATCCAACAAAAATTTACACTAAGTAAAGGCAAAGTCAATCATTCCAGGTTTTTCCTTACAAAAATCAACAAAAATAACCAAATACAAACCAAACAACTTTGTGCAAAGCATTGTCAACTGTTGAAATAAAACTGCTCCAATTTAAACATTCAAGCAAGATCTGTACAAACATGACATTCAGAGTCCTTTGTTAAACTTCAGTAACACTTCAGCCTCAAAATTCTCATCAGTGACCCTGGCTCTATTTTGGGTGAGAATTAGGCCTGAATAATCTCTCCACTGCTGCAGAGCTTTTGCGGCTCCACAGCAGAACTGGATTTTTAGGTAAAATAACAATCCTCCTTTGCTGTAAAATCATTATAACACACAGTTCTAACGCAGTTCTCACAGTAAATGGTCTTCAACGCTTGAGTTAACGCATAACCCTAAAGACTGACGCACAGACTGCTGGTCACACAGCAATGCAGATAACGAAATGGCAAAGAGAGATTTAAGATGAACATCGATAATTTGGAGACGAATGGACTTATTTGCATTTATCAGCACTCAGCTGGTTTCCTCATACGTTTAATCTGTAACAAGTTGCAAAGCTGAAGTCAGCTTCTCATTCGAATTTTCACATTCCACCTTAAATGGTGCAGCCTACAATCTGTCGCCTCAGGCACCATTTAAGGTGGAACGGGACAATTCGAATGAGAAGCAGGAGAATGAGAAGCGACTTCAGCCTTGTAAAAAGTCGAACGCTAGGAGAAACTCGTGGAGAAGTTTCCTGAGATGCAAGAAAAGCGGCTATAACTGAGCTAAAACTTAAAGCAGAGCAAAGTAAGTGTGTTTTCGTTTATATTATATTTTTATCCTGTACTAGTACATCAGCACATTCTGACATACAGCCAAGATGGCAAAACGGACATAAAATGTCGTGGCTCCCAAGGTGGATTAATTTTTGTTGAAAGGAAAAAATGGCTTTTCTTAACATTTCGGTTGCGACCCCTGAGTTAAGCCTACTAGTAAGGGGTGATCAGCGCATCGAGACAGCGTGTGACCGTTTGCTCGAATTGTCCGTGGCTCAGTCAGGATTGCACTATCGCCACCAGCCCAGTTAACGACTGTGTTCTATGGGTTAGATTTTGCACGGATTGCCGGAAGCCTGTAGCAAAATTGTAGTGAAAATTATCGCTATAGCTACACAAAAATCTGTATGTGCTACAGCTTTTAGCTACATTTCATAAAACTGTAGCAGCTACAGCTATTAACTACAAAAATTAAACAACTTAGAATATTGCACCTATGTTGGCAGACCACCCAGTTACTTAGTTGAGCAAAGGTATAGGGAACAGATAGTCCTAAAGTAACGCTTAATATATGGTTGCATATCCATTGCTAGCAATAACTGCATCAAGCTGGCGACCCGCTGACATCACCAAACTGTTCCAATACTTTTGGAAGAGACTGTATGAGCGGTATACATCAGGGGTGTGGGTCACTTACAAACACAGATGTGAACTATCAAGGCAGAAAGACTGGATCTGACAAAAAATTGGAATTGAGTAATAAGGCTTGTAGCGTTAACGTAGTCAAAGGACTCAACTAATCGACAGGATCAAAACCTAAACCATTCAGGATCACAGTAAATTACAACAGTTGTATTTGCAAAATCTACATGAGAATCAGTGATGATTTCCTGTGAAGGTGATGTAGCACAACTGGCTTTGGCTTTCAGCGAAATTATTAGAGGCAGAAAAACATTGGGCAAGGAGGCAAAGTCATTTCTCTCCATAATTTCCTTCAATAAATAATGAAACATAAAATTTGTTGCAATGGTCCTATGGTCATTCCTAATGCCAGGCCACTGCCGTACATTCTCTCTCTCTCTCTCTCTATCTATCTATCTATCTCTCTATAGTTATATAGTTAAAAGTAAAGTATGTTTTTCCTTCTCCTGTAAAGTCAGTGTGTGTGTGTGTGTGTGTGTGTGTGTGTGTGTGTGTGTGTGTGTGTGTGTGTGTGTGTGTCCTCAAACTTTTGCCTGCTGTTCGCAAAATGCTCCTTCTTTCTGATTTTGAACGAAACAGCAGTGGCCTGACACACTCACACACGAAATGGTATAAATGCTACTTGGGCAACTGCACTTACATGTGTGTGTGTGTGTGTGTGTGTGTGTGTGTGTGTGTGTGTAACATGGAGGTCTATGTGTTTGTAAAGGGCACATCTGGAGAGCTCAGGGTGTGTTCCACCACAAAAATTTAAATCCGTCCAATTACGTTTTAAAAAGCTAAAAGAAGACAGAAAGTATGGTATTTAGGGCAGCAGAGGACTACAGTCTCTGACAGAAGTGATGTCTATGCCCTACATTTATGTGACTGTACATCCGTTAGAATGAATGTTGCAACACATTTAGTACTTTTGTGTATTTATTGGAAGTAATCAGGAAGGGACTTTGACTTTGCCTCCTTGTACGTTTTTCCAAGTGAGTGTGTGTGTGTGCGCAAGTGTGTCTCACCTGTGTGTGTCTTCATATGCTCATCAAAATACTGCTTCATGTTGAAGTCTTTGCCGCACCACTGGCACATGAACTGCTTGTGTCCAATGTGGATGCTCATATGAGAGCGCAGCTGATACTTATACTGGAACCGTTCATCACAGTTCTGCACAGACACAGAAATAGAGAGCGTGGGTGAAAGCAGTAGTTGCACATGAAAAGCAGAGCGAGCTTTGTAATATAAAGGACTTGACCTGTTATTACGTCTTATAAGCCTGTCATTACAAAGTTATTTATACATGACACAGCCCAACCCAGCCTGAGTGCACGCGTGAGCGCACACACAAGCAGACTGTGTCTTACATTGAAATTATAAGTCCCACCCAGACCACCCTGTGGGCACCACTCCCAACACAGAGAGGCTGTTTCTATGGAAAAAAAAAAATGTTGTGCTGATGTCAAAGGCTGAAACCTATCACGAGTGTCAAATGTCTGAACACTCAGAGTAACAGAGTTGATGCAGAATCAGATTCTTTATTCATTCTCAGTGAAATGACTGAATTTTTGATCATTTTCCAGACACCTCTTAACTCTTAGAAGCCTAAACATATTATTGTTCTTTTTGTGATGCATTTGATTTATATTATTTAATATAATATAATATTCATTATTTAAATTAAATTACACAATTCATTACATACATAGTTGTGCGATGGACTGGTGACCTGTCCAGGGTGTATCCTGCCTTCCGCCCAGTGACAGCTGGGATAGGCTCCAGCACCCCACCGCGACCCAGAAGGATAAGCGGTTTAGATGATGTATGTATGTATGTATGTATTACATACATAGTTATGTCAAATTACATTTACATTCAATTTACACTCTGTGCTGACAGATTTGAGTCTACACTTCTGACATCTTCCTTTTTTATTTCAATATCTAATAATGGTAAACAAGGCAGCACATTTCTTCATCCCACTAAACAAGATGCACAACAATAACTTTACATCAAATTTACGAACACCAAAGCCACATCGAATTTTCTACAAAGAAATTTCTACAGAATTTCCTCACTTGCTTTCAATAGGCTATGAGTGAAAGATGAATTATCTAAAATTACACCATGCTTTTGTTACTGCTAGCAATAACAATAAACACAGGAGTGATGTCACAAAAAAACAAACAAACAAACAAACAAACAATGCATTTATATAAATCCACATATTCAGCCTACAGCAATCCAGTCCCACCCATGTGCATTGAAGTTATAAGGAGTGTTTCAGCCTGGACTGCATTTGGAGTAAGACACAATACAGGGCAGCCAATCAGAACAGAGATTATTTACATATCGCTGATGTTGGAACAAAACCTTTTATCTCCAAAATGGTAACTTTACAGGAAAAGGAAAAAACCTACTTTATTTTTATTGTAAGTTAATGGAACCAGACTTTTTCCAAGTCATTTTGGGCTATTTCTTTTGGTCCATTCAATTGTAAAGGGCAACAGGCATTTTTAATTTATGTCAAAAACTGAAAAATGACAAAAATGGAGATACAACGTTTTGTTCTGACAGCAGCATTATACTGGTTTAAAAGGCACAGTAATAAAAACAGCCTGGTTAATTGTAAGAAATGAAGAGAGATTATAAAATTAATAATGACTATATTTGGCACGTAAACCCACACAGACATTAAAGGAAAAAAAAATACTAAAAATGTAGGACATGGACCTTTTAATACCAAGTAAATTGCAACTGCTCATGTATGTGTAACTAAATTAAGCAGCCCTGAGGGTTAAGCTTAAATCCAGAACCAACAGCATAACTTAGTCCAGGGCCTACAAGTTGTAATCTGCATTAATCTGTCTAGAATCAGCCCTAAATGAGCTGTATGGAAAAGCACTGGATCTGCCTGTGGAGGTGCATTTCCGGAAAAAGCTCCAAATGTTCCAGCTTACTGGAAATGCTAAACGTTTTCCACCACACAAGTTATTTAAGAAACAGAGGTTGATGGGGGAGACGGTGCCTACAAGCAGAGCCAGACCGGTCTCTCCAGACACGGATTTACATTCACAGACGAAAACCTGTATGCACAGCTTGGTTGCACTGGTTAGGCAAAATTTGCCAAAGTCAAGCATTTCAGCATACATACTAAAACTGAACTGCAGCACAACACAATTTAGTTCATTATTAAGAAAAACACATTTACTTTTCACAAACAGGTGAATATAGCAGCAACAACCAAACACCACAGTAGCAAAAGCTAATACCACAACCAACAGTTTTAAATTCACATTCAGCCATAAATGGTATGGTGCCACCTGGAGAGATTATTTTTCAATATTTTTTGTAATATTGCAAATATGAGCTGACAACCAACACAAAAACAGAAACGAAACGAACACTATGAAACTTTTATGTAAATGTCTGTTTTGATTATAGGGAGGCAGAGGAACAGATGCAGAACACTATTTTCAGTTCAGTCATTAGAACCTAGCTGAGCCACTAACCAAACACAGAAATGCAGGCACACGCAGACATGGCACAATACGGCTTTATATAGGCACGTATATGGGTAAATAAATGTCAATGTGTTCCTGTATGTGTGTTTGCTTTACCCTATTGTGAAAGGAGTTATGAATGTGGTAATATCTGTGCGTATGTGCAAAATACCCTGAGAGCTCAGTGCATGCTGCAAGGGTTTCACAATGGGGGCAGAAGCAGCCATGTGAGAATAAATGCATATGTACCTCACAGCGGAAGGGCTTCTCTCCCGAGTGCTGGAGTGAGTGCACCTTCAGGGACATGCTGCGCTTAAAGGATTTTCCACAGGTTTCACATGTAAACGGCATGTCCTTAGTGTGAGCTGGAAGGAGGAGAGAGAGAGAGAGAGAGAGAGAGAGAGAGAGAGAGAGAGAGAGAGAGAGAGAGAGAGAGAGAGAGAGGAGAAAGATAGAATATTTCTAGCCGAGTTTGCTCATTAACATTAACATTGAGTGTTCACTGAAGGGACTCCATCCAAAAAAAAAAAAAAGTTACCCTAGTTACCCTAACTCTACTCCCTCAGCCAGTGCGAGAACAAACTTATTTTTGACTATATACAGCTTGTTTTGCACCTGTAATAGTATTTCTGAAGTATTTTAGTAACAAAATAAGCTGTATTGATGTAAAATAAATTTTTCAAAACCTACCTTCCTTTGTTATTTGTATACCATTTTGTCTTTTTGGCACTTTGCGTGCTACAAACACTGCACTTTGGCCTCCAAGGCAAAAAGGTTGGGCACCCCTACTCTAGAGTGAAACTTTCCGGTTTAAAGACTCAGAACCTCCTTCTAATGATGTATCTTGAAGGTAGGAGGAACTTCTGAAAAGCTGTTTTTTTGTGTTAGCTGGTGAATGCAGGAAACAAATAGCTAACACTACAAATATTTTATTGCAGATACGTGACTGTAGTAACTGTCTTCAAACCATCATTAAGATGGAGAGAATTCATTACTCAAAGGCCGGACATGACCTGTCAGATGTGGAGGGCAACAGGCTGCAGTTAGCAAGGTAGCTACTTGACTATCTAGATACTTCTCCGGCTGAAAGGGTAAATAACTTATTGTGTGCATTTTGTGCTTAATAAAGACAGTCAATATTTTACTCAATGACTGAGGTATGAATTACACCAATACTTGCTTCATTGTATTTGTTAGCCAATATTAAACTTGCTTTATATAGCTATAGAAATATAAATTTAATTTATATACCTATAGGCTACAGCTTGGTTAGCAGTCAGGACTGGTTGCCACCACAGGGATTCCAAATGTATTTCCATAATGCAATGTTTTTGTTACTTACCAACCATGTGCTTGCGGACATGGGCCATTGTGTAGAACTTCTTCTCACAGATCTCACAGGCAAATTTCTTCTCAGCAAAGCCATGGACAATCTTAATGTGCTCATGAAGTGACCACAGCTTCTTAAAGGATTTATTACACGACACACACTGAGGAACAGAAGAGAACAGAACACCCACACACACACACCCCCACACGTTAGTACTCAACGTTTAGATACACTCAACAAATTCCACTCTAAGCAATGCTGTAGACTCAAATGCTAGGGTCAAAATCAGTGAAGGTCTCCTGACCGCTCTATTCTAACTCTCTGATGACTCTGTCTCCCTCTGCTGGGGACATGAGAAAGTTTGTACAGTGATAACCGGAGGTTGGTTACTAGAGATGCTTTCTCAGACTTTTCATATTCCACACAGGATATGCCTCTTTTATTACACCCATATTTTAATTCAATAATGCCATTATTTATACCCTATAAACATTTTCTATTTCTGTGGAACATCCAAATATTACTGGTCTAGCACATTCGATTAGTCTGTTTGATTACATTTTAATTCCTCAATATGTGTAACATACCTGAGCAAAATAAAACTGATTCTGATATAAACCAGGAAGATTAAACGATATTGATTATCAGACATTTTTGTTAATATCAATGATCTGTATTTGAGGCATTTTTAATTAAATTAAATGTCCTTTTCCTTAAGTGCAACAAAGACTTTAACTTGAACAATTGCTACTTCACAGTATGCAGCGATGTGTGCTTTTTACGTGCTGAGCAGAGGACGACAAAGTCTTCAAGCCATTCACTTAGAGCAGCACAAATCTGCACGACTATTTTAGGTACTGAAATAATGGAATAGATTGAAGGCTGAAGTCTGAGGAAAACTTGAATTTGAGAAGACTGAAGCCACAAATGTGACAACCAGAATGAGCTATTTGTTTTCTTTGGGGCACAAAATACTACTCATATACATCAAATTATATGCTACAAATATATAGCGATAGAAGTTTTGGCCATATCTCCCAGCACTCCACGCCTCTCACCTGAATATTCTTCTCGCAGTCCGTCTGCTGATGCAGCGCCAGCTCGCTCTCCAGCACAAACTTCTTCCCGCACTTGTCGCAGATTTGCATGCGCCTGTGAGTGACGTTCATGTGCTTCTCCAGGTACCAGCGGGTATTAAACACTCGTGGACATTTCTCGCAGGTCAGTGTCTCGCGCTCCTCCCCTTCACCCTTGGCCCCTGAAGTAGAAGAAGGAGCCGAGCCTTTGTTGTCACGGCCCATCCTGTGCTTCTGGGGTGGGACTTCAGCGCTCTTCCTGCGCCCCCTGGTTGTCATACCAGCAGTTGTAGGCGCGACGGTTGCCATGGTTACGCGGCGGGTCTTTCTGCGTGGCTTGGTGCTGAGTCGGCCCCGGCGCGCCCGTTTTGCTCTTAACCTCCGACTCCCATTCTCTTCTTCCTCCTCTTCGTCCAGATCCTCCTCTTCCTCTGAGCTCTCTTCTTCTATGCTATCATCTTCCTCCTCCTCTTCGTCGTCATCATCCTCCTCTTCGCTGTTGCTTTTTACCTCTCCTGCAGGGTTCACTGGGCTACTCTTTTCTCCTTTAGAGACGTGGAGGGTCTGGTTGTTCAGGTTCACCTCTACAATGATTTGTGCTCGTTTAAACTCTTCCTCTTCCTCCTCCTGGCCTCCATCCTCTTCCTCTGTATCCTCAGATGTTCCGTCTTTCTCCCCTCGTGTGGCCCCCTCGCTCCCACTCACTCCAGAACCTTCTTTGTAGTACTGCTGAAGGGGAACGGGGTTTGGTTCTAGGTCAGGGGCCACCTGTGTTACTGGTTTGGTGGTCATCTTGTTGTCGACCAACACTGAATAGGGCTTGGCCCCGGCCTCCTGCCTGTAGAGCTTTGCTGATAGGTCGCTGTCTGCTGAAGGGGTGTGGTGATAGTAGGTTTGTGCAGGATGAGCTCTTTGACCCTCTTCCTGCGACATGGCTTCTAGGTCAGATACTTCTTCCTTCAGTGTCTGGCACGGCTTCATCAGTATGTGTATATATGTGTGGAGAGAGTTTTGCGTTCTCTGTACTGTTCTCTCGACGTGCAACAGTGGTGGTGTTTCCTCTTGACACCTAAAAAGACTAAAAAGGGTCCAACCCTACCCCTCGCTCAGAGAGCAAGAGGAGGGGAGGAAAGGAGGGGAAAAAGAAAGGGGTGGGACCCCTACAACACCTCAGCCCAAACCAAACTGAGTCCCCATGACCTCTGCATCAGAAGACGGACGGAGAGAAAGATTCGGCAGGTCCGTGGTTTCCTTTTCACAAAGCAATCACATGTATGCTGTGCTCACACTGGGCCAATTCAGCCAGCTTTTAGGTCAGAGATATTTGTTCCTCGTTGGTCTGTGAGAGCACTTTCTAGATTTCAGCAATTACTGTTAATATCTGCCAAATCAGTTAAAGATGCCAGAGTCTCTGCGCTGAGATTAGCCTCTCGCGGTCATAGCCTGCCAGCTCTGCTTCAAAAGCCTCCTGCCATACACTGCCTGAAAAAAAGAAATCAAGAAAGAAAGAAAGAAAGAAAGAAAAAGTTTAATTCAGCTTGCTGATAAGAACATCACACTTAAATGAAGGCAATAAATACCTTACAAACAACACGACTATATGCATAACTATTAGAACATTAGGGTATCTTCATAAAGACCATTTTTGATGGACATTTCAATATTACCTGAACGGAATCCACAAAAAACTGCCCTCGTACTGCAGAGATTGTCATCTAGTTAAAGGTTTTTTTTTTTTGTCCTCAAATGATAAGTCAGGCTTTCACCATCCACACCAAGCGCGTGTGTGGGAGAGAGAAATGAAACTGCTGTCTGGTTAAGGTGCAGAGATCTAAAAATCTCACTACCAATCACACAAATATAGGCGCTCGCGCACACACACACACACACTCCTGACCACAAACGTTTCACTTCTGTGTGGGAGCGTGTGTGAGCGACTTAAATTAAAACCACAAAGGAGCTGAGTAGAGAAAACTAACCCCTTAAAAACACACACCTCTTCCACACACACAAACACCTGAATATTTAATATCTTGAAGAAATTAATCGTAGGCCTACATGTCATCATTAAAATAACTACATCCTTTATATAGGACAAAACCGAGCACTAAAATAACTACTAACAACACTGTTCTAGCTACCTAAAAAAAATCTTTATTGGCAAATCTGGAGAAATAAGCGCAACAGGTGGCACTAGGGTCAACCAGGTCAACTGAACTATTTGGGTATACTACACCAGAGACTTGTATTCAGCCCTTTGCATTTTTGGGAAGAGAAAGTAAATCAAAATCAGTGAAGTAAATAAAGACAAGTGTGACGAGGTGGAGTTTACTACCACAAGTCAACTTTTTTGCCTTTATGGTGAATGCCACAAATCAGATTTTAAGAGTCAGACAGCTCCACAGAACTCAACTGCCAGATTTATCAAGAATAGAATACAATTTTATTGCCCACCAATGTCAAGAATTTATCTTCATTACTATCATAGTAATTACAAGCCAAACAACATACAAACATGAACCATGACTCTTATCTAAAGAAGATCATAGTGAAACTCATAGTAATTACAAGCCAAACAACATACAAACATGAACCATGACTCTTATTTAAGGAAAATCATAGTGAAACTCATAGTAATTAAAAGCCAAACAACATACAAACATGAACCATGACTCTTATCTAAGGAAGATCAGAATGAAAGTGGCCCCTTAACCAACGTTTGCAACTGACATTTCAGAGCAGAGATTCTCAGACCAGTCCTCAGGGACCCTCAGATGGTCCATATTTTTGCTCTATCCTTAAATGTTAGGAGATACAATCAAGCATAAATGTGGACCATCTAGGATCCCAGAAGACCAGTTTAAGAGCCACTGATTTAGAGAACTGCACAGCTGAATAGTGACCCTAGAAAACAAGCCCTAACTGAGCCATTTTTCATTGGTAAACGGTACTGTAAGAATGCACAGTCAAGATTCAGTCAACTGACAGCGCTGGCAGTTATGCACTTCAGAGGCAGAACGAAACCACAGTTTTCAGTATGAGTGAGTTTTGTGGGACTCTGCGTATGTAGTGGTCTACAAACATGTTTTCAAGGAACAGTTTTCAATAAAAACAATTACAACGCCTAGATTTCGCATTCCATCTGAAAACAAAGGCGGAGGCGTAGCTAACTGGACGACCCCTGGGTAACCCTGATGAAGCCTGAAGGTCAAACACCACAAACAAGGTGTGGATAGAGAGAAAGAGCGAACACTAATATAGTCAATTAACGACAAAATGGCAGACACAAACTAGAAAAATAGCGCAGTTTAACCACACTCTAACTTACACTTAACGGTCTCAGCCTTTACTTCCTGCGTCTCAGAGACTCATCTTCGCTCTGTGTGTATGTGTATGTGTGTGTGCGTGCGTGCGAATAGCATGCCCGCCTGCAAGTATGTGCAAGCAAAATATGCATCCATGTTAACTGCTAAACTACATTTACTTTAAAAGTAGGCAACAAGTACCGGATGTATATTCGCCCCCTACATCAGACTGAACAGTGCAATTGAAAAACAAACACAAACATATATATAACTCTACACACTCCCACATACACCCACACCTATACAGACACACTCCACTACCTTCCTGTATCTCTGCAGCTTTCTGAGAATCGGCAAGCACGCCAAGTGTGTGACCACACAATGGGTGCATAAGGGGTCACAGCTATGTGTTTATCTGCATCTTGGCAGTAATGAATCCTGCACTGTATAATGTGCTGAGAGGCCCGTATGTACAACTAAACATGCGTTCCTTGTTTAAATAAAAGACTTAATATAGCATGTAAACAATGTTAAAGTTCCAAATGTACCATTCACTCCCCATTCGATCCAGTCCTTACAGTCTATATATGGAAACCAAGCTGCAGAAACTGCTGTTTGAATTCACCGTTTTTGTGACTAAACAAAAACCAGTACATTTCCACATATCTGCCTATACAGCAGTTCAGCTCAGCCCATTCACACTGAAGTTTTAAAGAGTGTTTCAATCGCGACTGCTTTCTAAATGAGGGTAGGCAATCAGAGGAGGTCACGTCAGTCTTAAAGGCACAGAGAGAGAGGTTGAAAAATGGTCATGGAAAACAGAATGGAACTAATAAAATAAAAGAAAATGTAGGATATTTGGGCCATTTGACAGTGTCTTGATTTGATATACTGTATATGACTCTGAAGGAGCATAACCCATCACAAGGTTGCATGATATGGACAAAATATCATATTGCGATTACAGTGATATATAATGTGACTCATATGCCTTTCAGTATATTAAAGCACATTAGTGACAGGGTTAAAGATTGAACTGTACTATTTAGTTTGCTGGATTGTGTGAATACCTTGATTCTTCTTTAAAAAAAAATAAAAAACATACAACATTCGTCTGGCACATCTGAGGTTGGTCAGAAAGCAGCGAGCACACAATTAAAACAAAAAAATTGTAATAGGTTAGAGAGCTCATTTGCATATTGCAGCCTTCTGCCATATCAATACTGCAAAGGGCAATACGACAATAATGAGTAACAAACAGTATTGTGCATGCGCTAGCCCATCAGGGCCCACTTAAAATCGCAACTCTTGCACCTCTCTGCTATTGCCCACTGTAACTAGAGCGGTATATGAACAGGCACAGGTGTGCGCTGTGAGGTGGAAGTGCGTGGGTGCTACATGTACACTTTTCTTTCATTCCTTCTGAGTATGTACCCGCTTCTAGCAGAGGCAGAGTCTATTAGTGTGCAAGTACACATGCATGAAAACCTGTATTGTAGCAGATGGTTTAATCAGCAAGAAACTGAAGTTTTGCTGGTGTCAATGCCAAGAGAGACATTAGCAGCAGACCTGTTGGCCTGATCCCAAATCAGCCACAAGCCCTTCCCTTAATGCTCACTGTGACTTGATTGTGAAGGGGGAAAATGGCTCTGTTAAGAGAGACTACATGATATGAACAGGATACTAATATTAAGATTGTATTGTTGCATATTGCAACTGCTAAATGCTTTGCACTGGTGAATCAAATGTGGCTTGCTTTAAAGACTGGCCTGTGTAAAATAACTGGAGTATAAGAATATTCTGATTCATTAAAACGCCCAAAGAACCCATCTGCTAACAGCACGCACACACACACACACACACACACACACACCAAAAGGTGATTGGTTAGTGGGCTCAGTTGTAGTTGAATATTGCAACCTTCTATGATATTAGTATTGCAAAAATTAATGACTAACAAACAAAATATCATTTGGCCCCTATATTAACCATTTTATTTCGCATCTAGTCCTTTATTTACAATAGCTGGCTAAAATAGTTAACTGGATTATTCCGAAACGAGCCCAACCTCAGTGATTCACGAATGCTCAAGCTTAATACAGATGAATCAGACATGGGACTAAGGATGCATAATGGTAGCTTATAGATTGTGGACAGTGGCACAGCAGAACACAAATCGTTTTCAGGGCACCATGTTTGCTGCAGTTAGCCGAATAACCAGCTAAGCAGCTCAATGAAGAGGGCACGGGTTGCAATTGTGGTATTCAGTAGAGCATAGGCACCAAGCAGTGACATACTTTATGCCCTGAAGTACTTCTTCAGTAGTGCATCATCTTCCCACCAATACCAATAATAAAATGAAACTGCTTAAAAGCAAACCTGTGTCAAAAAACAAGCAACACACATGCGTGTACTCAGAGTTTAGCAGATGCAATATTTAATTCAGCATGTTCACAAGACATTGTCATAGTAGGAGGTCACAATACTTGTCTGTGGGAAAGAAAGGGACTGACATCTCATGAAAAAATTAAACTACCTTCACTGGTTTTCTCCTTTTCTCTCTTGATCTCTCTTTCACAATGCCATGCTAATCCTCTTCCTCGTGAGTGAGGATGAAGATGATGACTCATGCAGGTTTCTTTCACACACTACGAGTCCCTTTGATGTGGGCAACCGCCAAAGCATCGAAATCTCTGAAACTATCATACTCACTTACTCATAGTGTGGTTATTACACATTTATAATCTTTCTAAGGATCAAAAAGAAAGTGCTGTATTGATTTTACACAAAACTAACAGTCACAAAACTGCAGCAACGTTGTCCTTCCTGTCTCAACCAAGGATTTAGCTGTAGCAAGCATGAGAAACGTGAACATGAACTGGATGGTCTAGCTATTACTCAAGGTCAAGATTGGAAGGGATGAACAGGCATTTTCCAAATTCTGTCTCCCTTACAAACTATGCACCATTAGCCTCGTACTGAACTCAGGCAACTGCGAGTACTCTCACCTTACTAATTTAGTCTGGAACCAACAGATGGCCAAGACACCATACCAAGAATTCACAATGAGCCAAGCACTTACAAAAGAGAAAGTGTCAGATAGAAAGGAAGAATGAGAGACAAAGAGTTATCTTATTAGAAAACAAGTAATTAAATTCCTTGACTGCTGTTACCTGGCTACCTAAATTAACCAATATTAAAAAGTAACGTCTTCCTGCTGAGCATTACAACATACTGTAATTTGTGAAAGACAGCAGCACTGCTTCTCCTAAAAGCACACCAAACATAATTTACAAAGTATTGTAAACCACATTCCCAGTAAGTAAACTTATCATTTATTTAGTTTTCATGTATTTTGAACTTTTCTTCCAGTCCAGCAAATTACATATTTGCCATCATTAATAATGCCAAACACTGCACATAGTTGGCATGAAGAAATTGATTTTTGTGAAGTCAATAATACTTATAAATTTAAAACGTAAAGTTTTCAAAGAAAATATCTAACAGCAATGATCTTCAACACAGTTGCACAGTTGCAACCCATGAAAAAATAGCAATTCGGTAATAATGCTTCAAATCTTAAGTCACGAAAGACACATACACAGTTGTATGCACAAGTTTGGGCACCCCTAGTCAAATTATACCTTTTGTTGATTTTCTAAGTGAAAGTAAGTTAACACATCCTCTACAGGTAATACACGTCTGTACATCTTAATGCATATTTACTGTGTATATGCTGAATTTAACGTATCGGGGGGAAAACATAGAATATGGCCTGTACAAAAGTTATGGCAGAAATAAACAAAGTGTGCTCTAAAAATTGGCAGAAAAAAAAGTCACACTTAAGTCTGGTCCCTGTAAAGGATGCATTACCCTATTTTCACTTACAAAATCAATAAAAGTGGTTTGACCAGGAGTATTTAAACTTTTGCATATGACTGTATCAGACACTGAAAACACTGCAGACTAAAAGCAACCATTGCGTTCTCACACAGTACAGCTGGCAGTTCTACTTTGTGCAGGCATACCTTGCAATCATCACTCCAGTTATGCAGCTTCTGTATCCATTTGCACAAGCTTCTACATGGCAATTAAATGGGGGATAATAACACATTTCATAATGAATCATATTGTATTATAAAATATCATATTATTTGATTGCATCAAATCATGTTAGGGGTGCAGGCAAGGCAAGGAAAGTTTATATAGCACCTTTCATACACTGCGGCTATTCAAAGTGCTTTACAAACGAGAAAATACAAAGATAATCTTAACTACAATTTAAAGAAAACTGATGACTGTATCCATGTAGCTGCACAGCTTAATAATGAACATGCTGGACTGAGTTGTTGATTGGTGCTGGCTGTTCAAACCTGTGCCCTAACAATGCAGTTGCGCTGAATGCCATAATTAATAGAACGCTTGTTCTCTACGATGCACGGTCACGTTTTCGCATCAAGATCTCACAATGCCATGATGCATTATAACATAACACCCCTACAAGGTATAATAACATATCATATTGTATGGTCATGTCATGGCTAGCATGTTAGCTTGTGGCTAGTGTATTAGCTTGAGGCTCAAGGCAATACTCCACTTTGCCATTTGTTAGTCTGAAACATTGTATTTATATAATGTTGAATGTGCTAATAAACTAAAAATTAAATAATTAACAGCAGGGACTTTTTTAGGCACTTGTTATTTTTGCTGTATCAAGCAATACATTGAATTGAGACCCCACCATATTACTTTGAACTGAATTATGAATTTTGTGAATCATCTCATCCTACAATTTAGGTGTCAATCCTGCTCCTTTTATCATTTTCCACAAGCATATGCATTTCTCCACTGGATTTTCAACATTAACAGAAAAGAGGTGCCAATGAAAAGTGGCTGCAAATGATTTTCGGAAGTTTAATTTTCACGTCATTTAGTGATTCAAAATATATCCTTTTTTATATGTGCACACACACACACACTGT